TGTAGTTTTCCCTGCTGCCTACTCTGGAAAAAATCACACTCTGTAATCAGCAGGGTCCCTGCTGAAATTAAAGCCCCATTTTAAGTACTTTGAGTGAAGGGAACAAACAGGAGGCTCTTGTGCATATTCCCAAAGAGTTTCTCAGAGAGTTCTACACTCAGCCCAAACCCACTAGAATTATAATTTAAGCATTGCTACTTAAAATCATTGTGCCTGGATCTCATCTCTACCACCTGATATTTTAGGCTCAGCCTAGAACCGACAACTGCCAGTCCCCTCTCCAGTTCTCACTGGTGCAAGGAGACCACCTCAGAGCAGCTTTTCCTCTGGCCAAGGGGCACAAACCTACATTTGCAGGGACCTGGAGAAGTTTAACCTTGAGCATGGCTCATGTGCAGGATGCAGAGGACACTGGCATGGCAGTGTCCATCCCAGCCTGCATGTTCCCACTCCTCTACACAGCCCTGGAGCTCTCCCCAGGATCCCAACCTCATTCCTCTGTTTAGCAGCAACTACCACCCCCTGTGCTTTTCCTAAAGCAACCAAACACTGCCTTACAGCTGCTACCCTCTGCCTTTCCAGTCCCCTTGGGAGGGAGAACCCAGATCTCACCATTCTAATGGTTAAAAACCCCACAACTTCCCAATAATGTTTATTCCTTGGTGTTTGTTGCTGTGCCACACTATGCCTTAACTGAAGGAGCTCTCTTCATTTCACACTGCCAATGTGCCAATATTATCCTCACCATCATCATTTCTCTTCCTGCTTGTCAAGACACCTCAGCTTCTTTCTGCTCCTCTAAAATGGGCTCATCATCGCTGACCACTGGGCGAGCTGGTCTCAGAGCAGGGCTAACTGGAAACACACACACACTCGTTCCTAGGCCTGCTTCCCTGCTCTCCCGGGATGTGCCCGGATCACATTTGCTCCTCTCTCCCAGGATCTGTCCGGATCACATTTGCTCCTCTCTCAGCTGTGCCCTCCCTGCAGCCCCCGCCGTTCTCAGCTCATGACCTCGGCCGGGCAGCAGCGCTCGCCTTACACCGGGAAGTCTTTTCCCAAGTACGCGACCTCGCTTTCCACCCGATTAAATTTCATCCCAGCCCTCCTGTCCCAACCCTTCCCGGCAGTGCTGAGGGCACGGAGCTCTGTAAGATTTTACAGCGCCTGCGACACTTGGTCAGCGGTAAAGGCCCGTGCGAGGCCAGGGCTGCCTCCCGCGGCTCTCCGGGCCCACGGCCCCATCCAGCCGGACCTCCCCGGCCCCGCAGCGAGCGAACCGAGCACCGAGCACCCACGGCCGAGCACTGAGCCCTTCCCTCGGCCTGCTTCCCTCTCACTGAGTTAACCAGGGCTTGATTTCCATCCTTTTTCTTTCCAAAAGCGTAGTGCTGGTCTCCTGCCTGCGTCCCCGTCTGCGCTCAGTGTCCCCCCAGTGCCGAGTGTCCTCCCGTGCTCGGTATCCCCCCTCCGGTTCTCGGTGTCCCCCATGCCTGGTGTCCCCCCCGGTGCTCGGTGTCACCCCCGGTTCTCAGTGTCTCCCTCCGGTGTGTCCAGCCGGCCCCGCTGCCGGGCGGCCGCCGCGGCCTGTCCGGGGCTGAGGGGGCCTGGGCCGCCTTCCCGCCGCATCCCCCCGGGTCCCGCCGGTCCCGCACCGATCCCCATCGCCCACAGGCACCTACCGGCTCCCGGCGGCGGCTCCGGCACCTGGCGGCGGCGGGCGGGGCGGGCCGGACTGGGCGGGCGGTGCCGCGGCGGGGCGGGCCTGGGGCGCGCTGGGCCAGCCGGGGGCCGGGCCGGGCCTGCTGCGCTGGGCAGCTCCGGGGAGCCGCGGCTCAGGGAATCACAGCGCGGTTTGTGCCGGAAGGGATCGTAAAAATCATCCCGTTCCACCCCCTGCCATGGCAGGGACACCTGCCACCAGACCAGGCTGCTCCAAGCCCTGCCCAGCCTGGCCTTGGGCACTGCCAGGGATCCACAGCTTCTCTGGGCACCCTGTGCCAGGGCCTTCTCACCCTCACAGGGAAGAGTTTCTTCTATATATCTAACTTTAATTTCCCCTCTTGCAGTTCGAAGCCGTTCCCCCTTGTTCTGTCACTCCATGCCCTTGTCCCTAGTCCCTCTCAGCTCTTTTGGAGCCCCTTTAGGTCCTGGAAGGGGCTCTGAGGTGTCCCCGGCACCATCTCGTCCTTGTCCTGCACATGGTGCCTTCCCTACCAGGTGTCCCAGTTCATGCCCCACATGATGCCCTGCTCTGGCCGATGTCCTGCCCCACACAGTGACATGCCCATGCCATGGATTCTGGCTGCCCCAGGACCAGGGAGCCTGTAGAATCACAAAGTCACCTTTCTGGCTCCAGTGGTCTTAGCTGTACTGCAGGGACCAGTTAAAAGAGCAGTACTCTAACACAGCCACAGGTTTTCAGTCACTTCTCACCTGCCCCTAAGGCTCCAGAGATACTTGCTCTGAGATTTAGGTGTGCTGGGTCCCAGCCTGCCCCGGCAGCTCTGCCTGAGGTCGCTCTGGGCTGGAGCACAAAGCTCCCACGCCCCAGGCAGGAACAGCCATGTGCCTTGCAGGCTCCTCTTCTCTCTTCCCTGTGTCCCAGTGAGTGGCCGAGCTGCAGGTGACAGCAGGACAGGCAGGCTGTCCCCATGTCAAGGCACAAGCTAGTGGGAGACATTGCCACAGTACCAAGTTCTAGTTTAGACTCTGAGAGGGAGATGCTGTACGTAAGGTCAGAAATATCTGCCTGGCTCACACCTTGCAGCACAAGAATGTATTGTGGTGCCCTCCTGTCCTCTCCACAGGCAGCTCGGGGCTGGCCCACAACAATTTTCACATTTGATCCCTTGTGAGACCTGGCAGCCTCAGGCCAGTCCCACCTCACATATTGTTACCTTGGTTTTGAGCACAACCATACAGCAAAGGCGACAGAATTTTGCCAGTGTGACAAAGCTGAAGCTGGGACATTTCTGCCTTTTGGACATCTTTCAATTCAGCTTGGGGGAACCATGGGCACCACTATGGGCGGGCTGGGTGTGGCTGGTGCTGTGGGTCCCAGAGAAAAAAACCCTGGTCTTCACACACTTCTTAGCTTCCCTTCTTTCCATGTCCCCATGCCTGTGGGGACCCAGTTCCAGCAGTCAAACTCACGTTCCTCAGGTCACAGACATGCTGCAGATGATCACCACCCTCTGCTCCCTGAAAACCACTGCTGAGCGCTCCCAGCTGCAACAAATTTCCAGGAGGTGCATGCAGCAGAGCTGGGCCAGTTACTGGAGAGCTCTTTGCAGAGAGGTTGGGCTCCCCAGAGACCTGCATGGATGGCACAGGTGCATGGGGTGACCAGGATGGCAATCTTTCACAAATCCTTATGGAAAATGCACTGAAGCCTCTTAAAAGGCTGCTCTGGCTGCAGTGACCTGTCTGGGTCCATGTCACTCTCACAGCCACTGGAGCAGCCACCCACCCCTGGTGTCCCAGTGTCCTGGCCACCTCCACTGCTCTTGTCCCTCCTGCAGTGCAGGATTTTACCCTCTAAAATTTTGATGTCCTGGGAGACCCACAGGGCTGGGGATGGGATGGCACTGGGGGTGGTGTCAAGGTTTGGAGTTTCCTGCTCCATCCCAGGGGCTGCCCAGGCTCTCCCCTCCTGCAGCAGGCTGGAAGGGCTGATTTCTCTCCTGGTCACAGTGGAGCTGTCTCAGGAGCTGTAGCAGAGCTCTCTCTCTGTGAGGTGCTCACTGCTGAGGTGCTGCAGGCTCTCGGGTGCCAGGCTCCTTTGCTGGCGATGCCCCTGGGCTCCAGCATGGCTGGGGCTCTTCTCTCTCCCCAAAACCTCAGGGGCTGCTTGGTTTCAGAAGCTCTGGCTGGGAGCTCAGTCCTGAGGCCTTGCAGTGCTGGCCCACAAAGCCCCACACAGGCTGGGCTGACTGCTGGAGCAGAACAAGGCCAGAGGGACCTGTCAGCCACATGAGAGCTCTGTGGGCATGGACATCTCTGTCATGCCAGGCCACTGTGCCAGGTTGTGCCACCAGACCTTTGCCAGGTGAACGGCAGGGCCGCACTCAGCCCATCTGAGTCCCCAGGCCACTGGCAGTGCCCTTGTCCCTCTGCCTCATGCAGTGACATGGCTGGGGGGACATGGTCACTGTCCTCTGTGGCACCCCAGTGCTGGCCATGCCCTGCCAGCAGTACTGGAGGTCTCCACTATAAGCCCACCCAGGTTTGGGATGTTCCTTTGCTGGGGGCCTGCAGGAGCTGGAGCTGCCCAGAGCAAAGCTTTGGTGTCTGTTTTCAGCCAGCTCAGAGACCTGGAGGATATGGCTGTCTGTCTGGAGAAGGTGCTGGGTGAGAATAAAGCAGCTGCAAGATGTAGAAGGTGCCCAGCTGCCCATGGTCTCGGGAGGTTTGAGCTTTGAACAAGCTCAGAAGCCTGGGGGCTGCAACCCCAGATCCAACTCAGCAGGAAACATTGGGGCATCTCAGGATGTTCTCACCAGCCACTCTCTGGGGCTACCATAAACACACCTGTCTGCCTTGCCTGGGTTCTGCAGCCACCCAGGCTCACACATTCTCCCCGGGGGCTGGGCCAGCTGCAGGAGCAGTGCATGAGGCTGCAGGAAGCTGTGGGGTGACACCAAGGCCAGGACAATCTCTGGGCACAGCTCAGGAGCTGCTTGTGCCATGGCGGGTGCCAGGATTTTGTCACCATGCCATGCTGGTGGAGCTGGGGACAAACAATGGTGGGTGGCTCTGAGGAGGATGAGGGGAGGTCAGGGGATGGTGGGATGGTGAAGCACCCAGGTATGAACAAGGTGCTGATGGAGGAGGGCTTGGGTGTTGTGAACAAGCACTGGGGTGGTGGCAGGGCAGGGCTCTGCAGGGGATGGCTGTCCCCCTGTACTGTTTCTGCTTCTCCCCCTTCAGCAATGAAGATCCCCCCCAGCTCTGCTCCTGTCACACCACAGGGATGTGCTGCATCCCCCAGTACTCACCCGGGTGCCTGTCCTGAGTGTCCCCTGCCACACGGGCAGTGCTGCTGCTGAGGCTGTCGTGTCCCACCAAGGCTGTTTATCCTTGTGCATTGCAGGTGCAGGTGACAAAGCCAGGCTCCTTGGGGCTGATGCAAAGCTCAGGGGTGTCTAGGCTGGCCCCAGGGCTGTGAAATGGCATGGGGAGGATGGGGAGGGGCAATGCACCAAGGCTGTGCTGCCTGGCCTCGAGGGACTGGTGGAGTTAGGGTCACACTGCCCTTGCATCCACTCGTTGCAGTGGGGTAACACCACAGGCCAGAGATGTTCCCTCCTCTGCTGCCTCCCCTAAGCTCCTGGGGACACACAGGGCAGCCAGTCTGACACTTTTGGGCTGTGCCATGTCCCCATCAGCTCTCTGATCAGTCAGATCACCAGGTCTGTGGTCTGGCACATGATTTTCCAATCCTGTGGCTCCTGGTGGCCCTGGGATGGTCACAGGCACGTTCCCCTCCTCACCACCCAGGTCTCCCTGTGGCTTCACCTGTGTTTCTCAGGCAGCTGTCTCTCTTCAAGGCTGGGGACAAATCCCTTCTCTGTGTGCCCTGGGTGCCTCTGTGCTGCACCCCCTCACCTCACAGACCCATCCCCAGTCCCAGCAAGAGTGGATGTGACCTGGATGTGCCCACACCGGCTTGGATGTGGCCACCACAGCTGGGACAGAGGGTGCACAGCCCTGGCTCACTCCAGGGCCCACCAGCTTGGCCCATTTCATCTCAGTGGGGCAGGACTGAGGGTGGCAGCTCCAGCAGAACTCCCTGCAGGGAAGCTCACAAGGGCCAGCCCCAGCTCCAGGCCCTGCCCAGGCTGTCCAAGAGGCACCCCCGATGAAACCATCCCTCCTACATTGTTTATTTTAGCAACACAAACAAGAGACTGAAATTAATTATTGACTGGGGAGTGCAGGGGCACAGCCTTGCTGGGAAAGGGTCTGGCAAGGATAGCAACCTCCAAGGGACCTGGGGAAGAGGGGATAGGAGCCAGGTCACAGCAAAACACCCAGGACCTGTGGATGTCACAAGGGATCCTGAGGACTCAGCACAGCCCTGCCTGCTGGGGTCTCACACCACAGCTGATGTGGCAGAGCTGGGCTTCTGGGGCTGAGCCCTAGATGCACCTGGCAGTCACTGCATGGCTGGAACAGGGTGTTTGCAGGAGCTGGAGATGCAGCCAGCCCTCCTGGGATGCACTGAGCCACTGGGAGAGGGGATTCTGAAACACTCCAGGCTCAGGGCAGCTCTGCCTGCGTCCTGCCACTGCTGCAAACGAAGCAAAGACACGGGGTTCAAAGCAGAAGAGCGTGTATTGCAAGCGGCTGCGGCGCATCCGGAGAGACTTCCAGCCGCCGCCGGGAGAAAAGAACAGAGGGGTTAAAAACGATCCCAGTCTCTAGGGTTACACTGTGTCATGCAAAACAGCCCTGGGGCAAACCCCATCCTGGGAGGTTGGAGGGGAGGGTGTGCTGGCCCAGCCGGACCACCAGTGCTCACCCCCTGCTCCGGGCGAGTGGGCAGACGCCTCCCCGAGGGCCGGTGTCCCCCAGCCCTGCTCGCCAGTGAGGACAGCATGTGCGGGGTGGAGGCTGTGGTGGTGCAGGAACAGCCTTTGCTCTCTCAACCCCTTACAAAAAACAAGCCTCACGGGGTGTCTGCCCCCCACCCAGTTGATCGGGGCCAAGGGATGGGGGAAAACACTCAGGCACAACCCACGCTGCCTGGTGGGGTGGCCCGGGGGACTCTGAGGAAGGGACCTCCTCCATAAATGTCACTGGCATGCAAACTCCGGTGTCCCAAGAGAGGAGGGGGTGCTCCCTCCCCAAGAGTCTGGCAGCGTCAGGGTCCCAGGCAGAGGCCAGCACCGGTCCCACGCAGCCTCCCGCTGTCTCTGGGGAGCTCCATTCAGCTCGAGAACAAGTAAAAACTACTTCAAACCAAACCCATGCAAGGCAGCTATTTGCTCATGTGTCTCGGCGGCTGCCAGACGCCCTGGCAGCGGAGTTCCTCTCCTCTTTGGGGAGGGGGGGAGAGAGAAAAAATATATATATATATATTTATAGGCAGGGGTCCCCGCTGCGGCCGCTCTCCACCGCAGCCTCATCTCTCTGCCTCCATGGTCACGTTGGCCTTCTGTTCTGCGCTGGCCTGCTGGGAGACGGCGGCGGGCCAGCCCGCGGGCTGCGCCGGCGCGGCCGGAGTCCACATGCTCTGCTGCTGCTGCTGCTGCTGCCCGGGAGGAGAGGCCGTGGGCCAGGCGGGGTTGAAGGCCCCGTGCTGGGGCAGCGGCGGGGCCGGGGGCGGCGGGGAAGTCGCCATGGAGGCCACGGGGCTACTGCTGTTGAAGCTTTCGGAAGCCTTGAGGCGGGAGAACATGGTGAGGGCGTCGGGGAAGTTGGGCGGCGTGGCCGGCGTGTTGGCAGGAGTGCACATCTGTGGGAAAGGAGACACGGGGTCAGGGGAGTCCCCACCTGCTGCCTCCCACCGGGCTGTGGCACGAGACCCCTGTGCCCCCCTGCTGTGGCACGTGAAGCCCCCGGACCTGTGCTCTGCTGGCTGTGCTGCCCACTAGCAGCTCTATTTAAGGATCTGCAGGCTCATGCTCTCCTGGCAGAGGGCCCAGACAGGACCCCCTGTGCCCAGCCAAGTCGGGGATCCCCTCTGCTCCACAACCCACTGGTGCCACCCTGGGCCTGCAGCTTTCTGGCTCTGCAGGCACAAGGCTCAGGCTCAGCTCCCATCCCCCGGGAGACTGGGCATGCTCCAGCCCTGCTGGGCACTTGCTTTGCATGCTCCAAATCCCCAATTGTCCCAGAGAGTCAAACAAGGCTGCAGCAGCCAGTAAATCCTTAAGACACATCTGCCCAAGCAGATTACGGGCTGCTGGGGCATGAGAGTTAAGGGACTGAGTCTGGGGACAGCTGGAAGAGAGCAGAGGCAGGCAGCACCCACGTGTGGGTGTTTACACACTTCCAGACACTCCTCACCAGAGCCACGCTCCGGCCATGCTCCAGTGAGCACACAAGGACCTGTGTGTGTGGCTGCTGCAGGATGGGAAGCACCACGTATCTGTGAGTGTGTTTATACAGCTCAGTGCTTCAGGCTCCTCCTGGCTCTCTCTGCCATGCTGGGCTGCTGTGGACCACTGGCTATGCCCAAAACATCCTCCCTCAGACTGCCCCTTTTGGAAGAGGAGCCCCAAACCATCTGCAGGGCTCTGCTGTCCCACTGTCCCACCAGCTGCTCTCCAGGAAAACCTTCCTTGGCAGGCAGCTCTGGCAGTGCCCAGCCAGACCTCCCTGCCTGCACTCCTGGAGCTGGGAAGCAGCGAGCTGGACATGAGCACCAGCCTGAAGCACCTGCCAGCTGGTGCTCTGCCCTAGGAGAGCACTGGGGAGCTGGGAAAGCACTTACCATCTGATGGTGGTGGCTGTAGGGGATGTTTGTTTCTTGGAAAAAAGCACTGAGAGCAGTCTGAAAGGAAGGAAAAAAAAAAAAGGGAAAGATGATGTTACTACCTGCATCCAAACTGGGCACCCGCCTCACCCCTGCACACTACTAGACCCCAAAGATGATCCAAAACAGGCCCTGGGGGGCCTTGAGGGCACAGCTGCACCCTGTCCCCAAGCAGGGACCTGTGCCTGCCATCTGCTCACACCAGGGCAGGTGGTATTTGGGACCACCATCCTTGCAAGGAGCAGCTACTGCTGGGGCAGAGCCCAGCAGGTGTTTCACAACTCACCATGACACTCTGCAACCACCGTGTGCTGGGAAACAAAGGAAGCCAAATCCAACCCCAGCAGGAACCAGTTAAAGGCAAGTCTTCAACAGGACACAATCACAGTCCCCATATTCCCACCAGGAGATGCCCAGGGCAGGGGCTGCAGCAGGTGCCCACCCCATATGCCAGAACATTTCCAATTCAGTAGCAGACAGAGCATGATGGGGACTGACATTGTTTTGTAGCTTCCAGTTAAAACCAGTAATAATCTGGTAAATATGTCACATGCCACAGGCATGTGAGAGGACAAGAAGGGTTGCAGGTAGGGAAGGCCAGGGGAAGAGGATGGTCAGGAGGGCAGACACCCAGCCCAGGTCTGGGGGTGCACAGCACTGAGCTGATGCAGGAATGGTGAGAAGTTCTTTACTCAGAGGGTGGTGAGGCCCTGGCACAGAGAAGCTGGGGCTGCCCCATCCATGAAGTGTCCAAGGCCAGGTTAGATGGGGCTTGGAGCAACCTGGGATAGTGGAAGGTGTCTCTGCCCATGGCAGGGGGTGCAATGAGATGACCTTCAAGGGCCCTTCCATCCCAAACCATTCTGTGATTCCATGATGGTGACTCCTGTTCTGCACCAGGCTTCAACTGAGTCAGGGCTAGAAAACAATGGTTTGATTCAGTTGAAGATGAGACTTGATGCAAAACTGGTTTGGATTTATTTCTGGTTGAAGGAAAAGCCCCCTTCATTCTATTCAGGCCTCTCCTCAGGGCCTTCAGGTCTCCACTCTGGGGTGTGAGGTGTGGGGCTGTGGCTGGGTGCTGCCACTCTACCTCAGACTCTGCTCCCTTCCTGAGAGCCAGGGATTGAAGGTACCCAAGCTGCTGGGGAAAAAAAGGCAGAAAAGCCTGGAAAAAGCACAGGGAGGTTGTACCAAACACTGCCCAACTGCAGCAGCCACAGTCCTGCCACCACCCATGCTCCTCATCCCAGTGTCCACATGCTCCTGTGTCATTCCCAGGGCCAGCATGAATGACAGCAAGTCAGCTCAGCTCGTTGATCCAATGGGAAAACTAATTTTGTCCCAAACATCCAGGCTGGCAGGCCCTGGGAAGGCAAAGAGGTTTATGGTTTCCTGACTAAACAGCAGAAAACTATTGGTACGACCAGGTGGCAGCCAGAGCAATGTCTGCAAACAATGATCCAGACCTGGGTGGGGGAAGCAATTCCTGCTGCAGAGTCTGGCAGCTCCCAGACCACGGGGGGAGTGTGCAATAGCTGGGCTGGCAAGGCTCTTCCCTGCAATAGCTGCATTTAATAACACAGCACCTGAACTCTGCACCCAGCCACGCTGTGAGCTCTGAGCCCTCAGCTCCTGCAGGCAGGACCCAGCAGATCCCAGAGATGACCATGCAGCAGGAATGGGTTCTGTGGCCCTGCAGAGAGCTCTGCACAGGACAGCACATAGCTCTGAATTAGGGAAATGTCTGACACATACACTTCTGCAGCAGTGACAGCCCCTGCCACGCTACCCTTTGTCCTGGGTGAGGCTGGACGTCAACAGCCCGAGGCCCTAACACTGACAGATCGTGATAAGAGAGGGGTAACACCAAACAGGAAACACAGGCAGAGGTGTGGGCACAGCCAGATACCATAAGCTGATTAAATCTGCTCTGTGCTCCTGTTTTCCAAGTGGCCTCATATCTGGGACTGTGCCACTGGCAGACAGTGGCAGAGAAGGTCCCTGCTGTCCCCCTGAGCTGCCCACCAATCCCTGCCAGTGCTGGGATGAAAGCTGTGACTGGGCAGAGGAAGCAGCCCACCAGGGCAGGCCCCTCTGCCTAAAACACTAAAACAGTCTCTTCCCCTCCATCTGCCCCTTTCCAAGCATGGCAGAAACAGCCCCTGTGCCCAGCACAAAGCCCAGGACCTGCAGTCACCTCCCAAGGGACCTGCAGAGGCCCAGCCTGGTGAGGGAGGGCCCCACGCTCCCCTTGGTGCCACAGGGGCCAGGGACACACACAGGGACCAGGGACACACACATAACCAAAGCTCCTGATGCCACCTGCTCTCCAGACAGCGTCACAAGTGCCACCGTGACTGCTGCAACAGCAAAGCCAATTAAGGCTCCTCTGCTGGAGCAGGAGCCCGAGCCCAGCTCAGCTCTGACCCTGGAGCCAAAGCCCCGCTGCCTGTGCACCCTGGTGTGCATGGGAGCAGGGCAGCCACGGCCTGGCCACGCTCAGCAGGTGACCAGGCCACTGTTACCCCTGCCAGCATGCAAAACCAGGAGCTTCCCAGGAGAGGGATCACACAGGGACCCTGCCAGGGTGCCAAGAGCACCTGTGGTGAGTCAGAGAGAGGGTGGCTGGAGGTGTGAGCCCTGCCAGCACGGAGCACACAGCAGCAGGGGCAGCCCTGGCAGCACCCTGTCCTTGAACCACCAAGGAAGGGGCTTCATGAAATGTAAATACATAAGAGGAAGTGAAATCCAGCCATAGACACAGCAAGTGAAGCCAGACACCTGCTCCTCGTTTTGTTCCCCACACACAACCTCTCTACACTGAACAGAGGCTCTTAGCACCAGGAAAAGGAAGGAATGGGTGGGTTTTTTTAGAAGAAGTTTCTTCTTATCCTCCCCAAATAGCCCCAAGGGCAATGAGCACATAAAGCCAAATAATATCTTTCTACCAATGAAGGAGCCTGATCCACTGCCCAGCCCCATGTGAGACTCTGCAAACTCTGAAATGTCTGCCTGGTAACCTGCTGGGTTCCAGCCACAGAGGAGCTGCTCTCCCTGGCTTCTCCCAAAAAGCCAGGCCCTGGAAGCTGAGTGCCAGCCTTCACCCAGAGACACTCCAAGCTGCTTTCTTGGGCCTGTAAACCTCTCCCTGGGATCAGCCATGGCACTGCTCCAGCTGCTGGAGGGCTGGGCTGGCAGTGCCATTCCAGCTGGCACCCACAGCAGCCATCCCTGGAGGCATGGAAGGGCCCACAGAGCTGCAAGAGCTGCAAATTAAACGGGGCACAAGAGGATAAAGCCTGCCCAGGGTCCCTAGGAAACAGAAGAGCAGTTACAGCGAGTGGGAGAGGCAATCCACACCCTACCCATGAACTGCCCTGTTCCCAAGGGATAGATAGGATGAAAAAAAAAATGGCTCCTTAATCAACCCTGAGTATGGGACAGACTCTGATCAGCTCACAGCACAGCCAAAGGTGACTGTATCCCAAATGTTTTCCTGACCTCCGACCCTGCTCACTGTCCTGGATCATGGGTCTCGGATCCTGGATCACAGTTTCCAGCCTCTGGGTCTACCAGGGCTGGAAAGGCACACACAGAGCAAATCCTCTCTGCAGCCCTCACTTCATCCTCCTACACAATGGCCCCTCAGCAGCCAGCCTCAAAAGCAGCCCAAGCCCAGGGAAGTGGTCCCAAAACACCAGCATCCCAAAGCTGTCCGTGCTTCACAGCAGCCTCCCTCTCCCTCCTGCTGGTGACAAACACCCCAGGGACTGTCACAGGCAGCAAGTGGGACACTGGCCCACAAAGGAAAGGTCCTGGGCAGGGCAGATGGATGCCTGGAGTGCCCTGGCCAGCACAGAGGCACAGAGCTGGGACAACCCAGCTCCCGCTGTGTGTCACTGGGCCACTGAGCTAGCCTGGCTCAGTGCAGAACACCTCTCTGTCCCCGTGTCCCCGTGGTGGCCTTACAGGCAGGAGCAGAACGCTGAGGTACAAGCAGGCTGATTGCATTCGCACGTGCCCCTGGAGGAACGCTTTGACTCCAAGGAGATGGGTAATTTATGCTGCCTTCCCTCGTGCTGAACTTGCCTGAACTCCCCCGATTTATACTCACTGCAGATGCACACCAGCCAGCAAACGGGTGCTGCACTGGAATAACAAAAGCCTCGGGAGTACTCCAGAAAAGAGGTGAGAGCAGGCTGGAGCGGTCGGGAGGTGATCCCTCCCCAGCGTGGCTCCCAGAAGGAGCCGTGCCCAGCGGCCATTTTGCAAAGGGAATTATCTGACCGTTGCACCAAAAGTGAGTGGGAACATGGTAACGGCAGCGTTTGTTTACAGCCCAGCTTCCTCTGAGTCATGTGAGTGCCCAGCCGGCAGGAGACGGCTGTTTCTACTTGTGCAACTCGCCAAACGGTGGCAAAGTTCTGCAAAAAAAAAGCCTTTTGAAAGACACGTTAAAACTTCTGTCATCCCTCCCCGGCTCTTTTGCGACACGCACGGAGGTGGTGGAAGAGGATCCCGCCTGTCCCAGAGGGCCACAGTCAGGCTGTGTTAGTAAACAAACGCCGGAGCACGTTACACATGCAACAACACATCCCACGCCAGCGGTGCTCCCGTTCACCGGGCACGGCGGTGGGATCGCCGGCCCGCTCCTCCGCACATCCCTGCGAGCCCACCCCGCGCTCCCCGGCCACGCACGGCTCGCTCTGGGATCCCTCCTGGCCTGTGATAATGGGGGAATGCTGTGCCCATACGGCGATGGGCGCCGTCCGTACCGGGTCCGCCCGGCCGCTGTTCCGTTACGGAACGGCTCCGGGACAGCCCGGGCAGGGAGGCGAGGTGCTCCAGCCACCGAGAGGAACCAACGGAGCCTGCTGCTCCCCAGCCCTGACTCCGAGCTGCTCCCGCAGCACTGCACAGACATTTCAATTACCGAGGTGCCATTAGCGTCAAATCCATCAGCTCCAACCTAGGGAGCTGCAGAAGAGAAGGAAAAATCCTATTTAGAAAGCAATTTATTGGCGACGGCCACCGCACTGCTCTTTGCTCCCTGCGCTTCGGGTCCGGGGATCTCCGCAGGAGCTGAGCGCCCTGAAAGGCACCGCGGAGCTCCCGCGGCGCCCCCCGCCCCACGCGCGGCCTTAACCCCTGTCAATGTCACGGAGTATCCCGCCCGCGAGCGAGAGGAAAAGGCGCCTGGAGCCAGGAAAGCTTTGACCTACAAAGTCTCCTCTCCCACGGCTGCCCGAGAGCTCAACCTCCCCAGGGCAGGGCCGTGGGAAAGGCTGCGCTGGGGTTTTCCAGCCCACGGCCACGCGGGAGGGCTGCGGCGGGGGCGGGGGGGAACAGGAGGAGGCTTCGGCGGATTCGGCGCTCCCGGCCCGGCCGCGGTCCGGCGTGGGGCCCCGGGAGGCTGCGAGCCCCTCTCTGCGCACCCCCCGCGCAACGTGGCCTCCCGATCGCCCGCCCCGCGTGGCGCCCACGCTCCCCCGGGCACCGCCGGGGGCCCGGCCCGCGCCCCGCCGCCGCCGCCGCGCGTGTGGGCGGGCGGGGGGGCGGTGGCGTGTCCATAGGGCCGGGCACCGATCCACGCTGCCCAAATCCCCCGCGATGCCCCCGCGCGGGGACCCGCCCGGGACCGGTACCGGGGCGGCGGCCTCACCTCGAACTGCCAGTGGGCCGCCTGCAGCAGCTGCTTGGCCTGGTCGGCGGCGCATCCGGCCGCCAGCACGAACTGGTTGATCATCACCTGGTGCTTGAGCTCGTCCATGGCCCCAGCCCCGGCCCCCGCCGCCCTCAGGGCGCCGCCAGCACGGCGGGGCCGGCGGCTCACGCCAATGTTTACCGGGCACTGACTCACGGCGCCCGCCCAGCCCCGCCCACGGCCGCCCGGGGCGGGGCGGCCCGGCCCGGCCCGCGCGGCGCCCCTGGGACTTGTAGTTCCTGTTCACCACGCCGCCCGCCGCCCTGCCCCCGCTCGGACCACAACTCCCAGCAAGCCCCGCTCTGTTTGCGGAGCGCTCGGCGCTCGTTGAGTGACGCGCGGGGCCGGCCAACCGCCGCCCGCGGCTTGGTAGTACCTGACCGTATATGGTCAACAACGGCGCGGCCCCCAATGGGAGGGCGGCGGGGGCGGGCCGCGCGCGGGGAGGGACCGAGGCGGGGCCGCGGGGTCACGTGGGCGCGGGCGGTGTTTACAGTCGGCCGCGTGCGGTTTCCTGTTGACGTGAGGGAGCGCCGGGGCCGCGCCGGGACCGCGCTGTGGCCGGCCCGCCCGGGGGCAGCGCTGCCGCCCCTCGGTACCGTGAACCGCCACAGGCCTCGCCGTTGCCCCCCTGCAGCCTACGGGGGTTTGGTGGAGACCCCTTGGCTCGCAGCTGCCCTACAGCTCCGCGGCCCGGGAGGCGGTGGAGCAGCAGCCCCTTGCCCCCCGCGCCCTCCATCCGCGCTAATAAACTGCGAGCGCGTTGCCCACTCCCGCCTGGTCCCGTTTTCCCTCAGCCGCAGCGTGTCCGTGCATCGCTGAGGTGCCTGACGGGAGAGGCGGCAGCGAGGGAAGGTTCTGGAAGGTGCGGGGGGCTGCCGGCGTTCTGAAAGGCTCCTTTGAGAGCCACAGCCGATGGAAGCCCGCGGGCAGGCCGGTGCTGCAGGGCCCGGCAGGGCGGATAGTGGTGGTGCTCAGGGTAAGCAGGCACAGCCCCGCGGTTCACTGGCCGGGGCTAAGAACATCAGGGAAAAGATGAAGGGAACTGCCGGCTCCACCTTTCCTGAGCGGAGGTTCCGGGCTGTTTCCTGCAGTTTGGAGAGGTTTGCCTGGCTGTGAGTGGATTGTTTACTAACTCCTCTGACCCTGGCTGGCATTTTGCTGGTGTTTCTGAGCCTTGAGGATTAAATGGCTGAAGGTCAGGCAGGTAATACACTTGATCAATGGGGTTTGCAGCCTATGCCGTGTGGACAGGAATTGCTCTGGTATTGTCCAAAGCTAATCACCATTTCCCATGTGTTCTTTAGTAACCATTCTGGAGTTACACAACCATTCAGCCTCTCCAAGCCTTGGAGAATTTCAGGGCCAAGGGGTTTCCCCTTCTCATTCTATATATCTCACTGCCTAAATCCAAGTGAGGGCACACTTTGGATGTGTGTACATGGCAGTGGGACATAGCAAGAGCTGACTCGTTTCTTACAAGGTCAAGACAATCCCCAGAGAGAGGTGACACAGGGAGATTTGTAGCCACCACGGTGTAAATACAGCAGGAAAAACTAATCTCCTGAATGATTAATCAGAAAGAGCCAGGCATGTTTAGAAACCTTGCAGTTTGGGGTTTGGAGGGAGAAGGGTTGGGCCTGGCCTGGCAGGGCTTTCAGGAAGGGTTGTAAACCCTCAGAGCAGGGCAGTGTTTAGGGAGGCAAAGTTCATGGGCTCACCACTCCTTCTGGCGAGCTGTAACTCCGTGTGTGTAGAGCAACCTTGTTGTTCTACACGTACCTGACAGACACAGTGAGTGGCAGTGGGAATAACAGAGACAAAGCACTGGGTAATAAACCCCAAGCAGCTGGACTTTGGATGAGCTGCTCTGGTGACCGGGAGCTTTGCAGGGAAACATATTTCCTTGTTTACATGGGTGTGCTCGTAGCTGCCTTCCCCAACATGTCCAAGGAGGCTCCTGAAGGCTGGGGGTGGCTGGAGAAATGTGGCAGTGGGAGTCCCTCTGGCCCATCTGCCTCCTCTGGGCTGCAGCTCTGTGGATTCTTCTTCCTGGGGTTCAAAGGATCCCCCATCTTTTCCTGGATGCGTTTTGCTGAGCAAAACCAGTGCAGGAGCTGAGGTCTCCTCACCACCCCTGGGGCTCTGCAGGCTCCTGGTGGTAGGAGCCCTGGCCCAGTTTCACCCTGGTCCTCCCCAGTTTGACCACTCTCTCCCCACACCATGATGGCACTCAGGGTCTCAGGTCCCTTGAACCTTGTGAAAGTGTTTTCATCCCTTTCTCACAGAGGACTTCCCATCTTTGTGTCTTTCCTCACTCATGGTGCAAGCAGACCCTGGGGCTGGCAGCACCAAAATGGGGACAAACACATCTCGGGGAACCCAGAGGTGAAGGTGCAAAACCCACTGGGGTGGCACCACCAGCGTTTGCGGGGCCGTTGCTGCTTCTTGCAGCTTCCACAGTGCCCTGGGCTGGGGGAGTGCTGCTCCTGCAGCCCACAGGACCCACCTGAGGAGCTGTGGGACCCTGGTGTGAAAAAGGCATATTTTATGATTGGCTTTTCGCAAATATTAAAATGAATATTATATGTGTTGTGTTAGAAAGTAATGCTGTATTAATTCTCTTAAGTAGTGTGTTAAATATAGTTTTGGGTTACAAAAAATGTTAAAATAGAAACTCTGCTATGTAGGATATTTTTTTAAAGGAAGGACTTGCAGCAAAATAGCAGCCACAGGACACCTCAGTCTTTCAGAGAAAAAGAATTTATTGCTCTCTTATCAGAAGAAACGAACTTCTTCCCACTTCGAAGGCACTGTTAGGATTCAGAGGAAGAAGTTGATGATGACCAGACAGAATCCTGTATTTGAATGGAATTTATGCATCATGTATGAAGTGTATGAATATGCAACAGGCTGCTGTTTTTAAGGGTTAATCCTCTGTTAACGTGGGTCCTTTTTCAGGCTCGTGCTGCCCAGGAAAGGTACCCGGATGTCCGTAACTCTTTATTTCTATTGTCTCATATTGTCCTCATTCAAATTGTCCAAATTATTATTACTCTAATTGTATTACTATTTTTATAACCCTTTTATTACTATTAAACTTTAAAAATTTTAAAAACAAGTGATTGGCGTTTTTCACACTGCTGGGGGCTGGCAGGGCAGCCCTGCTCCCTGCCCCGAGGCCTCCACTCTCCTTCCCGTGCTGCTGGCAGTGATGGGATGGAGGAGGCCGTGGTGCAATATCCTGCCTTTGTGTCCCACGGGCCGGCTGGGGGCAAAGGAGCAAAGGAGCTGCTGCCCTCCAGCTCTGCTCGCTCGGGGCCCTGGGATTTGGGGAGGAAGGGCTGAGCCCCGCCCTGGCACACCGCTGCTATTGTCACTGTGTGTCACACACGGCTCACGGAGCAGGGCCCTCCGGGACAGATTCCCCAGCAAAAGCCCCTGCCCTCCTCTCGGGAGTTTGCAGTTTATTGCAGCCCTGAGATACGTGAACAGTCTCTGTTTCAGCCTGCACGTTCGAAGAATGAGTCGGAGTTCTTCAGTTCTCGGTCTCAGAGTTGTTTATTGTATCTTATCTATAAAAATTTTTCTTCTGTCCAGCTGAGGTCTGCTCAGCAGGACAGACAGAGGCACTCTGACTGCCCCCAGGGAAATGTTATCTCTTTATACTACAAACTATGTATAACATGTTTACAATTACTTTCCAATACCTATCACCTTTGTTAGACAGTGAGCTTCTACTCTAAACCAATCCCAAAGTGCCAACATCACAGCAGAAGATGGAGGTAGAGAAGAAGAAGAAAGGCTGGACACACTCAAGTCCCTCCATCTTGTCCCCAAAACCCCTATTCTAAAAACCCCAAAATCTACTTTTTCACCTAGTGACAATTTTATTATTACACTGCTTAAACTTCTGTGGCTTTCAGGTCTTCATACAAAGCTGGTAATTTGCTCCATGGGTCATAATCAAGCCCACAGGTGTTCTGGGCTGTGTGCCAGGGTCTCTGAGCCCTCTGGCAGGGGTCTCAGCAACTCTGGACACCCAGAGGGATTTGGTGAGTTCCGACACCCTCCCAGATGGCAGCAACCCCCGCGGGGCCCGACGGCTTCCTTGGAGTGCTCCGGAGAGCTGGGCAGCCCGGGAGGGACCTTCCCACTGCCAGAGGAACAAAAGCCCTCCTGCTGCAGCTCCCCGGGCAGAGCCAACGCCCCCGGCAGTGGGACCAGGCTCTCCCTGCTTCATTCACATGGCACCGAGCTCGTAGCTGCTCAGGGAGTGTGGGTTTGCAGTGAGATGATCTTTAATGTCCCTTCCAACCTAAGCCATTCTAGGATTCCACTATTCTGTTCCCAAAAAAGCTCTGGGGCAGCTGCCTCTGCATGCCTCTTTGAGCTGGAAAAGGCAGGATGCTCTCGGTGCTTAGGCTGTGGGAGGAAAGGGAGAGGGACTCTCACCTTCTGCTCAAATGCAAATTCTCCTCTTTGCCTACTTCATGGTGCAAACACTACTCTGCTTTGCCCCCAGGATGTGGCCAGCTGGCCACCAGTTCTCAGGACAGCACAGGGAGATGGACCCACTGATCCTTGCTGTGCCCAGTCTGCTCCAGCACTGAACCCAAATCAGCTGCTGGGCTGCAGAGTGAGGTCTTGGGGGTTGTGGATTCACCCTGCTCAGTTTGGGGCTGCTGGTGGCTGTTCACATCATCCCACTGCTGCCAGGGCACTGCCCAGAGCTTGTTCCTGTGGCTGTGCAGGCAGGGAGCCCTGGACATGCTCTGGGCCAGTACACTTGTCACTCTGATGGTCAGCAGGCTCCATCCCTGTCCCTGTGATGGTCAGCAGGCTCCATCCCTCCCTGTCCATGTTGTGAGAAACCCTTGCTGCTTATGAGAAAGGGTTAGGAGAAATGGAGAGGCTGCTTGAGCGAGAGGCACTGGCACTCCAGGTGCCAGGAGGATCCTGGGGGACACAGCAGAGAGTTCCCAGGCACAGTTACTGCCAAGGCACTGCCAGAGCCTCAGGCTCCCCTGTGCCAGGTGCAGGGTATTCATCTCTTGTGGTTGGCCAGCAGGACTTGTTGCTCATTCCCTGCTTTATCCCTGTCCTCCTTCCCAGCCCTGCTGCACAATGGGATGCAGAAGAGCAGGGTCTGCTCCTGTCCTCACCCCCAGCATGTGTTGCCCTGCATCCTGTGCCTCTTCCAGCCCCTCTGGCTGTGTTCGTGTGGCCACGGCAGCTGCAAGGATAATAACAAGAGATAACTGTCCGGAAGCACGTTTCGCCTGGGGATTGTTTGCTTATTCCTGCTGGGCGTGTTTTAGTTTGTGTTTACAGCCAGCAAATTCCACCCACTGCCTGCTCACTTGCTATCACAAAATCCTCCCGTGCTGGCAGGCTCTGCTCCCTGCTCCATCCCATTTCCCTAAATCCCAGCCCTCTTCCCTGCTCTCAAGGCCAATTTAAGGGATTTCACATGTGCCATCTCAGCTCCTTCATGCCTCTCAGTGATTCCCAACTCCACTGCTGGGAATTTGGGTCCCCAGTTCCTTTGCAGTGTGTGTGCAGGGAGGTACTTCCCATCACAGGGAGTGGCTTTTCTCTGTTCTCTGTGCCAGAGGGAACTTTGGGACTCAGTCTTGGGACATTGGTGGCTTTTTTGTGCCTCTTCCTCCACACCATCCTCCTGACTGTTTTGTCCCACATGTGAGGCAGCCTGTGGCCATTCCCTGTCCTCACATCCAAACCTCAGGCATCTCCATTTGCTTTCATGTGTGGATTACCTGTGAGAGGAGGAACTCAGAAAGCAGAGGCTTCCCCCTGGAAGGCAGATCACCTCCTTTCCTGTTGGCTTTCAGCCTCAGCCAGTAGCAGGTCCCACCTCTGGGACCTGCCCTGGATAATTCTCCCTGGGTATCCCTGTGTATGATGTGTCCCTGGAGAGCCCTGGGCATCCCTGTGCAGGCTGTGTCCCTCTGGGCATCTCCCCTGTGCTTCCCTGTGCCAGATGTGTCCCTGGGAACCCTCCCTCCCCGTGCATCCCTGTGCAGAGCATGGCCTTGGGCATTCTCCCTCTGCATCCCTGTGCAAGGTGTGTCCCTGGGCATCCATCCTCCCCGTGCTTCCCTGTACAGGATGTGTCCTCGAGCATCCCTGTGGGAGCTCCCAAGGGCTTCTCCATCTAAGGTGTGCCCTGGTGATCTCCATGTCCATGCCCGGGTCCTTCCCATGCAAAGTGCCCCATGTCCATCCCTGGGCCCACTCCTATTCCCATCCTTGTTTTTCTACCCCGTCCCCATTCCCCATTCCCATTCCCATCCCTATTCCCATTCTCCCATGCCCATTCCCATCCCTATTCGCATTCTCCCATCCCTATCCTCATCCCTATTCCCATTCTCCCATTCCTGTCCCCATCCCTATTCCTATTCCCATTCCCATCCCAATTCCCATCCCCATCCCCATCCCCATTCTCCCATCCCCATTCCCCATTCTCCCGTTCCCCATCCCCATTCCCGTTCCCGCCGCAGCGCCTTCTGCCGGCGGAGCTCATGGCACCGCCCCCCCCCCCCCCGCCGCCCCCCATTGGTAGATGCCGCCCCTCCCCGCCCCACCGTTGGTAGGCGCCGCCGCGGTGGCTGCCGGGAGCTGTAGTCCCGGGCCGTGAGGACTCGCTGTCCCGGCGTGCCCCGCGCCGCCGCCGTGGGTGCGGGTCCCGGTGCCGGTGCCGCCGCCGCCGCTCTGCGCCCCCGGGCCGCCCGCCCTGTCCGCGGCCGCCATGGGCTCCCTGCTCAGCCGGCGCATCGCGGGCGTGGAGGACATCGACATCCAGGCCAACTCGGCCTACCGCTACCCGCCCAAGTCCGGTGAGGGCCGCGGGTACCGGGGAGGGGGACAGGCCGTGGCGGGCCCGGTGCCCCCCGGGCCGGGCGGGGAGGCCGGGGAAAGGGCTGCCTGTCACCGGCCTGGGCTGTCACCGACTCTGGCTCTGCCCGCGGCCCTGCCCGGCCGCGCTGGCGGACAGGCCGTGGGTGGATGGATGTCAGTGGGCACAGCGGTGGCACCGGGCCGGCTCTGCCCGGGGGTCGGTGCCCTGCTCTGACCGTGTCCCCGTGCCCGGCATCCAGGCTTCATCCAGCTGTCCGCGCCGCCTGGCACCGTGACCGCCCGTCATCCCGGGGTGCTGAGGGTGCTCAGGGTCCGCTCCCCACGGTGGACGTGCGGCCTCAGCGAGCTGCTGGTCCCGGGCCAGTGCGGCGGCTCTGCCGGTAAAGGGCAGCGCGGCGGAGTTCGCTGGGACAGGGAGCAGAATGGGGTCTCGTTGAATACACGATGGCCAAATTTCCCTTTAACTCCTTAAAATGGCAGTGGCTGTCACCTCGGACCTGTTGGGCTGACACAGCCTACTGGGCGTCTGTTTTGCACAGGGAATTGTTCTGAGGGCTTGGAGAGTTGGGTGCCACTTGTGTGCAGGTGGGATGAGCCCGTGACTCACCTTGTCTTGGGCTGGCTTTTGAGATTAACCAGGTTTACCTTGTTTAAACAGTTTTACTTATTCTTCTCAGAAAATAAGTGGTCAGGGAAATTCAGGTACTCTTTTCCCCTGCAACATCCATTTGCTTACAATTTTTTCTAGGTTTTGGTTCTGGCAGGGCTTTTCCAGGCAGGCTGAAGAATTTGCAGAGCAGCAGTTTGGGTCCCCTCACTCTGAAATACAAAGACTTGTCATTCAGAGATTCAAGTCCTGTGTGTGTCCATGACCTGCTGGCTGTGACATCCTCAGAGGGGACCAGGACCCTTGTTTAATTTGGAGGGGATGCAGGATCATCTCAAACACAGTCCTGTCATCATTACACCTTGTCTTGTTGCAGGTTGGCCCTCAGCAGGAATGGTGGCATGGAGGAGGTGGAAGGGGGAAACCTGCCTAGAAAAGTCCAACAGCTGTGTTGTCTCTTTTAGGAAATTTAACTGCTTTTTTAGGGGGTTGGGAGCTGGGTTTTTGGGCAGCTGGGAAAGGCAAGTGTCACAGTTTGGCTGCAGCTGGATCTGTGTGTGACAGCATTTTAGATAAAGAGTGGATTAATTATAACCACCATATGCAATGGACATTAAACTTCTTTCACATCACCATCCTGTTGTTCCTGTGCTGCTGAACTGGAAGTTAATGGTGTGTTGGGTTTGGGGCTTGGCAAGGTAACCCCATCCCACTCCTGAGGTTGGGTTTGTGTGTTACCAAGCTCCCTGGAAGGGGATCTGTGGACCATAATGCTCCCAAAGAGTGTTCCACATGTGATATCTCCCTTGTAGAACTGAACAGCCAATGCTTTCAAGCAGCTGGTTAAATAAAAATATTTGTATTTCCTACAAAGGCTCTGGGTGCAATTAAAGGCTTGTTAATTAATTCTCTATGTCATTTTGTTGTGCTCTTTCTGAAAGCTGGTGTTAAGCCAGGGCTTTCTCTTCACATACTTTGGGTTTATCTAACAAGGATCCTCTTGACTTTGGGGAGAGAGCAGAGCTGTTCAAGCTCTAGGCAGAAGAAGAGGTGGTGAACACCTCTGAGGTGGAGGTTCAAAGCCCAGAACAGTGAGGGCTGTTAGGATGGCAGCTCCCCTCCCTCCTTCAGTGTGTTAGAGGGACAGTGTCCTTTGAGGTCCTGCCATCTCCAGAGTGATTGTCTTGGAGATGGGAAGGTTGGGACCAAACCTGGCAGTGAGGATGACTGGAAGTGAGTGGGTATGGTTTGGATTTCAGGAAGCAAGCTGCAAGTAGTACAAAATGTTCTTGGGCCAAATGTTTGCTAATTATTTCTAACTGGACCCTGCTGCTGTGAGCCCTGTGTGGGAGAAGCTGGTTTTCCATGGGCTGTGTTGGGTGTGTGTGCTGGAGAGTGAGCCTGACTCTCACTCCTGGCCCTGAGATTACCCCTGATGGTCTGGGACAAGTGGAGAGGGAGCATTACCTGAGGTCACCCTTCCTGTGTGCAGCCCTGTCCTTCTCCTTTTCCATTCCATCCCTCCTTGTCTCTGGTTTCAGCAGATCTTGACTTAACTACAAATGTCTGCTCAGCTGCTGTCCATGGTGGGCATCAGTTGGGTTTGATGAGGGAGCAAACACCCCCTGCCAAGGACACACTGTGCAAGGAAACAAACCCTAAATCCAGGTAAATACCTAAATCCAGGTGTTCTGGCTGTGATTTCAGCCTGCCTGTGGAGAGGGACACGGTGGCTGAGCCTTGGTGAGTCCCAGCTGGTTGCAAAGGCAGGGGGGAATATTCACTTCTCCTTTATTGCCTTTTGATGTGGTTGCTGGGTCAGTCACATGCCCTGGGGAGGATGGAGGAGGTTGCTGAGGAATCCACCTTGGTCTGCATGAGCCAGTCCTCAGTGAAGCAGGGTGTTTAACAGCTTTGTTGGAAATTGTGTGCAGTTTTGTAGTCAGAAATCCTCAGAAAATGCCCTGCTTCTTCCTCCAAGGCTCTGGATGGGTATCACCTACATTTTTCCTCCTCCATCTGGGTGACTGAGGCTACTGTAAGGTGATACCCAATTTTCTTGTCTGACTCCTCTTTGCTGGTACCTTTTAACCAAAATTTCTTGCTTTAGGCCTGACGGGTTGGGAGGAAGGCCTGGTTTGTACAGAAGAGTAAGTGCCTCTGTGAAACAGGCTAAAAATGGTTATTTTTTCCCCTTTTTAGAGTTGTGATCTCTGTGGTGTTTCAGTGCTTGGAGCAGTGGAAGGATGTGCCATGCCCCTGTTGCTTTGGGGCAGTGAGCAGTGCCCCAGTGCTCCCCACAGCTCTGCTCCTGTTCCATAAGCTCCTCTGCAGCACGGAGCACGTGCCCTTGGGATGGCTCTTCTCCTCTGGAGTAGGCTCTTGAAGAGGATCCCCTGGAGATTCCTGGGAGGAAGAAAAGGAAGTGGATTGCTCCTCTCTGAAGCTGAACTGCTTTGTTGTTTGGGATTGAGGCTTTAATCAAAGCAAGAGCAATTTTAAATAGGAGAAGAGTATCCAGAGTCACAGCCAGTCCATCTGTGTGCTGCTGGGTACCATGACAGTGTCACTGTCCCTGTGTGCTGGTTCAGGCTGTGCCTGGGACTGTGCTGCCATGGTGGTGACTGTCTGGCTGAGTAATTAAACAGAACCCAGTTTCTATCACTTCACTGTTAATTGCATTAATGGTGAGAAGCCTAAATGGGCACCTAAATGCTTTCTGTTAATGAACATTGTGACACAGCCATGCTGTGATGGGATTACAGCTGTGCTCAGCCTCCTGTAGGTTGTGTCCCTTCCCAGTTTGTCTCTTGTGCATCACATCCATGTGTTGCATGGATATGGGATTAGGGAGAGGTAATTATGACTGGACAATCTGGTGCTTAATGCTGGTGCAATTATGATAATAAACCCCCAGCATTATGCTGTACTAAATATAAAGTATTTTGGTGTCATTTGATGCCTTGAAGGAGCCTTGGGTTCCAGTTTGGTTTTTTGCATAGGACAAATGAATGAGTCAGACTTGGCTGTTCTGTCCCAGTGGTCCCAGTTTTTCCAGCTACTGTAAAGTTTTCCACCACAACAATTCCTCTTACAACCACTGCTTGGGCTTCATCTGCCTCACTTGGTCATGTTCTCTTTTATCTCATGCTGCTCTGTGCTTTGTGCTGATTTACTCTGGGGAAGTGAAGCCACAGTTTTTCTTTGTTATGGCATTTCTATCCTATTCCATCCTTTTTTATTTATGTGTGATTCTTTCCGGGTCAGCGTGTCACTGCATTTTCCTGGAGGGTTTCTGTTTGTAGCAGTTCTGTGGAGGATCAGTCCAAGGATTTTTTGCTTTTTCTTTTTCCTGCCAAAGAGAATGGCACTTGGCATCCTCCTTGTGCCTGTAGCTACAGAGCTGTGTGTAAAGCTGGCCTTGGAACACCTGCTTAAGGTGGTTTTATAGCCTGGGGGAACATATGGGAACAAGGTTCCAGAGCCATGATAGCCTGGCTAAAGTTCTAAAGCTGTCTCTGTACTGGATTTGGAAATGGAACCTAGGATTCCAATGCATAGAATATATATATATGCACGCCTGCTAGAGCCACTAAAAATCCTAAATGTCACAGTGACTGCCAAAGAGGATGCCTCATATTTTCCATCTGGAATTTTCCTTTTCATTTCAGTCCCTGGTGTGGTATTTAAGAAATGCTTTCTTAAAATGTTCTGCCTTCAACTTGGGCAAACTCTGAGATGGTTGTGATCGTGGTTGAGAGGATTCATCCGTAACTTTGGTCTCACTTGAGAGCTCTGAACTTGGGTGTCATTGTAGCAAGAGCTTTCTGAAAGCTTGCAACAGAATATCTTTTTATAGCTGCTGAAAACCGTGCTGTAAATTTGTGGAGACAGTTTGCTGCCATTCTGGTTTGTTTGTCTGTTGAGACCTCGTGTGTGTGGCAGTTTCTGTGTGTGCAGCAGCCTCAGGGTTGTTCTGTGTGTTCCCTCTGAGAACCTCAGAGTGGTTTTCCCTGTGCTCCTCGTGCCTGGCACTGCGTTTCTTGTTTGCTTATAAAGGAAGTGCCTCGGGGGAGAAAACCTCTCCTTCACATTGCAGGAGGTGACTTAGCAGGAAGATGAAGAGAGTTCAGTCTGAATGTGGAACTGAAGCTGTGATTCCAGCTACTGTATTGGTGAGAAATCCCAACAATTGGGTAGAGATGTCAAAAGCAGTTCTTAGTGGAGCAGTGGCTGTGGCAGGTGCCTTGAACATGCTGGTTTTGTGTCTGGGTGTTGTTCCAGTTGAGCAAGAGAGACCTTTTCATCTCTGGAGATGCTCTCAAGCCGTGTCCTGGGCTGATCCCACAGCGTGGGCAGCAGGAGAGGGGGGATTCTGTCCCTCTGCTCAGGTGAGACCCCACCTGCAGAGCTGCCTCCAGCACAGGAAGGATGTGGAGCTGCTGGAGGGAGTCCAGAGGAGGCACCAGGATGATCCCAGGGATGGAGCAGCTCTGCTGGGAGAGTTGGGATTGTTCAGCCTGGAAAAGAGAAGCTTTGGGGTGACCTCACTGTGGCCTTGCAGTATCTGGAGGGAGCTTAGAGAAAAGATGGGGCAAGGTTACCTACAAGGGCCTGGAGTGACAGGACAAGGGGGAATGGCTCCAAACTGGCAGAGAATAGGGTTAGATTGGATAATAGGAAGAAATCCTTCCCTGTGAGGGTGAAAAAGCCCTGGCACAGGTCTGCCCAGAGAAGCTGTGGCTTTGTCATCCCTGGAAGGGGCCAAGGCCAGGCTGGACAGAGCTTGGAGCAGCCTAGTGTCATGGAAGGTGTCCAGGGCAGGGAGTTGGATCTGTGTGATCTTTAAGGCAATTCTATGATTGTGTAATTGTGTCTCATCACTGGATAAGAGGGAGTTCTCTGCCTCTGATCCAGGATAACCAGCTGCTGTGCTACTGAGACATCCTGCACAAGCATTGTCTTCTCAGCTGATCGAATAAAATGTTCCAAAGCATAATCCTGCTTGACCCACATAAAATGTGGAATCTATTCCAGCCTTCAGTGTGCTTTTCTGAACCTCAGTGCATACACAAAGCTGCATGGTGTATCTGATGGAGAGGCAGTGTCAGGCTGGCTGTGCTTGGACATTATATACAGATTAGGTGTTTAATTTTGTTGCTTCTGGGAGGAGTGGGAAAAGATTCCCTGTCATTTGGGGCACCTCCATTTGTGTCCAGGAAATGACTGGATGTGGCACTCAGTGCTCTGATCTGGTTCACAAGGTGATGATAGGTCAGAGGTTGGACTTGATGATCTTGGAGGGCTTTTCCAACCTAAATGATTCTGTAGGACAGATTCTAAGTAGCTGCTGGACCTGTGCTGAAGGTGATTGTTGGATCTGGAAAGAAGGATGTGTTTCAGTACTACAAACATCTGGGTGCTTGTTAGCTGAGCTCAGCAGTAGCTGAGCCCTCCCATCATCATTAAGGCACTGCCATCTGTGCAGAGTGAAAAGAGCCTTTCTTGAAGCAGAAAGGGAGAAAGCCTTAATGGAAAAAACAGGGCCATTCATGAAAACCCTTCAATTTCTGAGTAAATCCTGCTTGCTCCTAACCAGAGGGACTGCAGATCCCTCCAGAATGCCTCCACAGCCATTCAGATGATTAGTTACTGCTTCTGGAATGACTCATTTGAACACAAATTTATGCTGTCTATGCATTGCACCCAGGGAAGCAAGTGTGCATTTGGCTCAGTCCTCTCATCCCCCACTCTGAAACTTGAAGAGAAGTGGCTTGGATGGAGCCTTTTATTTCAGTTCTCTCCTGATACTCATTTCTCTGAAACTGTACCTCTGTGAAGTTCACATGGGAGAGTGTTTTCCTGAAGTCTTTCTAGGAGGGAGCTACTTTGTGGTGCTCTCACACACCTGAATTAATTCTGTGCATTTTACACTTAATTCCATGCTCCAGAATCCCAGGAACCTTGCACATACTTTGTGTCCTGAAATTTTCACTGTAGTGCATCACCTTAAAGAGGAATGAAACAAATTCATGGTGAAACTTTCAGAGCTGACTTTCACTTTAGTCAGTCCCTGACATCCATGTTTCTGCATTTAGAACTGTCAGCATTATTCATTAAATCAGATCAGGGTGTACAGACTCCAGCACTCCCAGTAAAGGTTTGGAGTGGTTCTTGTGTGGGATATGGGAGTCAAAGAGGGGATGAAAGGTGACAGGAGACCTCTGGCTGTGCTGAACTTTGCAGTGGGAGAAGCCTCATCCTTCTCTGAGCAGGCCCATGGTGTTTGTGGGACTGGGCTTTGCACTGGGAACTGGAGGAAACAGGAAGAATTGACCAGAATGGAGCAATATTGGAAAGAGCTGACTTTTCCTGCTTCCTGTTCCTTCTCTGGAAAACAAGTTGAAGTGGAATTATCTCCACTGTAATACTTATTCTAGGTTTTTGTTTCATTTGTTTGGTTTTTTTCCTTTCTTCTCCTACTGTTGGCCCTGGTGGTGAGTACTACAGCAAAGGGGTGAATAAGCAAGTCTTTTCTGTGTCTTGTGGCTCTTAAAACTTGTGAATTTAAAACTGCACAGACTTTTCCAGGAAGCACTCATTTAGAGAGTTTTTTTTCCCATTCTCTTGTGTTTTTTATTTCTAGGAAACTACTTTGCAAGTCACTTCTTTATGGGAGGTGAGAAGTTTGACACCCCTCACCCTGAGGGTTACCTTTTTGGTGAGAACATGGACTTAAACTTCCTTGGAAATAGACCAGTTCAGGCAAGTTCCTATGTTCTGTCTGTTTTATTCTTTTTTGTTTCCTGCCGTTTTTGGAAAATCTTGGGTAGGGTTTGTAGAGGAGAGTGGCACAGACCTGAGAGGTCCTCACTGCTTGGGGAATGTCATTGCAGTCTGTTCAGATGCAAACTGAGTTTTCCTGAGAGGCTGAATTCACCTTGGAGGCTTATTTTCACTGAGGACAGAAGGAATTAGTGGTGGGGGAGGAAGAACAGGGACTGAGGAGCACAGAATTTGGGACTGATTCTGCCTGCCTGCCTGAACAAGTGGAAAACCTGCTGCAGAGAGGGCTGGGAAGCAGAGCCTGAACTTCCCAAGGCTCCTGGGGGAAGTTTGTGTTCAACACATGCTGTTTGCTGTGTCTGAGTGACCTGACTGGGTGTGGGGCAGTGTTAAGACAGACCTTGACATTTTGTGGGGTTTATACCTAGGTGGGCTGCTCAGAAAGTCCCTCCTTCTCTTTTCCTAGCTGGAACATAAATGTAATTTTGGGCCCACAGATGTCTGTGAGAGTGTGAAAAGCAACTTGCTCAAGTGGTTGGCTTGTTCTTGAAAAGGGAATAATGTTGTTTTGAGGGAAAGACAGGAATTTTATGCAAAGTGTTATGTTTTGGATTTCTCTTGCATCTCAGAACTGCTTAAAAGAACCAAAAGGTGACAGAGTAGGAGCCGTTTGGAGATCTTTTCTGAGTGCTGGAGAGGAAAGGGAAGAGCTGCTTGCTTTGTTCACTATTTTCCTAGTTGTTTCTGCAGCTTCCAAACATGAAATGAGAACTAGAAGTCATGGTTCTAGTTTAATTAATTATTTAATTTAATTACCTGCATGTCTCATCAGAAAAGCTGTGACCATTAATTAATTAATTCATGTTTGTAATGCTTGGTGGCAGTTTGGGATCACCCTGGTTTTACAGAAGAGGGAAACTGAGGCAAGTTGGAGTTGGAACAGTTACAAGCATGTTCTGCTTTCTGAGTTTCTCCTCAGGCTGTGCCATTGGTCATTTTAGAGCCACACTCAGGTCACAGGATGGACAAGGAGGAATCTGCAAAGTCTTTGTTTAACCAGGAAATGCACTTGGGCAACAGAATTAGGGAGGAGGGGGTTGAGCTGGAGCTCTGTGGTTGTGTCAGTGCTGGGCAGGCCTGGGGGTGCTCACCACATCCCCTGGGCCACTCTGCACACAGGGCCCTCCCTGCAGGGGCTGAGCTGGCACCGTTCAGTCACCTGCATGTCCCAGCCTGGGCTTCCTTGCTGACATCCCAGCTCTGGGCTTCATCATTTCTCCAGAGGGGAGTGGGTGAGAGCCCATTAACACCGTGGGACATTTGCCAAGTGGGTTTAAGAGAAGGAGGCTGTTGTGGAATATAGTTTGCCTATGTAAAGTTAAAGCCCTTTGGCAGCTCTGATTAATCTTCAAGGAAAAAGAAAAAAAAACCACTCAAGCACTGAGCAGCAGCACTGTTTTCTGGACATGGGCCCAGTTCTTGCTTTGGAGTAAGGGAGGCTTTGCCTCATTTCTAAGGAAATGTGTTGGTGGTCCCTGGTGCCCAGCAGGCAGCTCTGCAGCTGTACAGGTTGTGATCATCACAATAAGCAGTTTCCTTTGCATTTCTCACTGGAGATCCTGTGCCCACTAAGGAGAATTACAGTCTGAAGCATTATTGTCCCTATTTAAAGGACAATCTGTGAGAGAAGATTTCTTGACTGTAGAATAGAATGAGGCCCCCTATCCCTGTCTCTTTTCTTTTCCAGAACATTTGCCCCATTGTTTCAGAATAAAAAGAGTTTCCCCCAGTAATCCAGGGTTTCAGCATGCTGATTAGCAGTCAGATCACTGCTTGCATGCTGCAATACACATGAAAGAGCTGCATTTCTTCTGCTCAAGCTGAAGGTGGATTCTTTAGCGGAAATAAAAGCTTGGGAGAGCAAGGCTTTCCTGACTGAGAATTCAGGGTTGAGAGAAAGGGCATTTTCATGAGGTCTTTCTTAAAGTGTGCATTTCCAGTATGAGCTGTTGCTGGGCCAGGGCAGGATTTTCACCCTGAAACACACTTGATTTATCAGTAAATAAAATTTGCTATTGCTGTTCCTTGTGGCTGCTGTACTGAATACCCTGAAAGCCACATGCTTCTTGATTTGGGTAAATTGGATGCTAGGTAACATGCTGCTACCCTTTATAGTGTAATAACAGAAGAATGATTTGCCTCTTTGTTGCAGTTTCCCTACATAACTCCAGCTCCACACGAGCCAGTGAAGACACTGAGGAGTTTGGTGAACATCCGCAAGGATTCTCTCCGACTTGTCAGGTACTGCCCTTACCTGAACCTTTCATTTAACTCATCCCAGGGATCTCTCAGCCACAGCCAAGCTGTACTGCTAAGCTTTTGGAGAATGGCTGACATCCAGATCCTTGTTGCTAGATATGTCCAGAGGTTTCTGTGCTCTCTTTTGAGCTTTCAAGTGGTTTATATGCTCCTTATCCAAACAATCTGTGTTTCCAAACAGGGCCAGTGATGTGTCTGTTTCTGCAGGACAGACTGGAGTGGTAAACAAAGCCATGAAATCATTAGCACGAGCGGAAGGTATTAGTCAGGTCAATAAACTTTACAGACAGATTCCTTCCTGCATTCCTGTGCAAGGAGAAGCCAGAAGGGAGCTGATTCTGGTTCAAGTTATGGGCCTGGAAGGCTGATGGGTCTTGAGTGAAACTTCCTCAGGTTTCTCCTGCTGCCAGGATGAAGATTGGTCCCAGTGTTATGCATTTGTTGAGATGGCTTGTGTGCCATGCATGGGGGAAGGACAGTCATGGGGATGGTCACTCTCACTGCTCCACACTGAGATCTGAACCAGCAGAGCTGCATTAAAGCACTGGCTCACACTCAGACCTGCAGCTGTCCCCTTTCCAACAGATGGCTGAGGTACAGGGCCCAGCATTCAGTGCTTTGTTTGGGTCTGAGCTCTGGGCAGATGTCCAGGCAGAGCCTTTCCCAACCATCCTGGCTGGAGTCACTCTGGATTCTGTGTCTGGGGCTGGAGCTCTGGCAGGGCTCCAGCTGCAGCTCCCAGCCAAGGTGGCTCTGAGAGCCTGGTGTAACATGAGCACTTGGAGTCATAACCAAAAATCCTCAATTTATTTTTATGTGAAAACAGATGTGGGTTTTTTGTTTGTTTTGTTTTGTTTTAAATGAGCAAAACCTGTGGTTTCAAAGCTCATGGAGCTTCCAAATAAGTGACCATTGGTAAACTGCTCTGAAAGCTCTTTGGTTTTTCAGCATAAGGGTGAAGTACTTCTCTAGGAAAAAAGAGAAGGAACATAAGCCAAATGGGAAATGGCTTTTTCCCTGAGAGAGGCCTGGCTGTGAATGGAGCAGTTGGTGTGGTTTAGTACATATAGTTCTGTCATTCTGCTTTCTGTGCTCACACGTCCCATTTCCAGAGCTGCAGCTCTGGACTATTTGGAATGTAGTGTCCATGCACATTGACAGTATCTAATTTCATCCCTCTAATTCTTGCTACTAGCAGTTCTTTTTCTGCCTCATGAGCTCTCACAGGCTCTTGTGCTGCTGCTGTGTCAGTGCTGACGACAACACTGCCAACATGACTTTATTGAATTTTGCACTGATGTAGACCCAAAATGAGGTTTAATTGACAGTCCCCAAGGGTACATTCTGTCTTGTGCTCTTCTGGCTCAGAGGCTTTGTCTTCCTCCCTCTGTGCACGTAAAGGACACTTTGTGCCCTCTCCAGCCTGGCTTATTCACAACCAGTGGCTGAGGTTTGCACGTTCTTTCCAGAGCTGATCAATTTACCACATCCTCCACCAAATACAGTGATACTGAGCCAAGTGTCCAGGTGTAAAGTTCTAAGTGGATGTTCTGCTGGTAACATCCCCATAAGCTTTTTCATAGAATCCCAGACTGGTTTGGGTTGGAAGGGACCTTGTTCCACCCACTGTCCCATGGGCAGGGACACCTTCCACTGTCCCAGGCTGCTTCATGCCCTGTCCAACCTGGCCTTGGACATTTCAGGGATTCAGGAGCAGCCACAGCTGCTCTGGGCACCCTGTGCCAGGGCCTCACCACCCTCACAGGGAAGAATTTCTTCCCAATATCCCATCTAACCCTGCCCTCTGGCAGTGAGAAGCCATTGCCCCTTGTCCTGTTAGTCCAGGCCCCTCTTGAAAGTCCCTCTCCAGCTCTCCTGGAGCCCCTTTAGGCAATGGAAGGGCTCTGAGTTCTCCCTGGAACCTTCTCTTCTCCAGACTGAACAATACCAACTGTCCAGCTTGTCCTCACAGGAGAGGTGCCATAGAGGAATACAGGGAAATGTTCCACTCTGGCCTTCCTGCTCAGCTCTGACCAGACAAAATTCTGAGCTTTGCCAGATCCTGAATTTTTACAGGATAAACAATAAACCTGTGGATATTGGTGTTGAAGTTCTGAGTCTTCAATGTCCCGTGTGAGTGTTTGATCTCTGGCAGGAGGAGACTGTGAACCTCAGAGCAGGATAGCAGGAACTGTGCTGTAAACCACTAACAGAGAAAGCCTTCCTTCTATTTTTCTTGTGTCCCACATATGGCCTTGGATTGGAAGCTTTGTTTTGGAGCTCCAGTACCTGTTGTGCTGGTACTGGCTGTTCCTTCTTCTCCTGAAGGCACTTCCAGCTGCAGGAGGAAGACCAGCTCAGGAGACAAGGGCTGTTGTTGCACCCTGGGGCAGCTTCTCTGCTTCAGCTTCTGGGCTTTGGACAGCATTGAAGGAATCAGCAGCTGTGGTGGTTTGGGAATGTGTCTGGAGCATCAGGAGTGTCATGGAGAATAGTCATGGAGTGTTTTGATAAGGGCCTGAGAGAGGTGGATGGGGGGCTGAGGGGAGACAGGTGAGTTGCAGGGAGTGAGAGAAAGGAAATCCCTTCTCATCCCTCTGCAGCACAGGGGGCTGACCTTGGTCCTTGGATCTGTTCATCCTGTGCTGGAGGTGGTGAGGGACTGGGACTGCCTGCTCTGCAGCCTGGATGGTGTTAAACTGGACAGATCTTTGCAGAAACCCCAAATAGGAGACAAACACCCCTGTGTCTGGTGATGCTGTCCCCTGTGGAAGTCAGTGCTGACAGAGGTGTCACTAATTCTCATTTATTGCCTGCTCAAACACTGGGTAAGTGCAGATCTCACAGCACTCAGTCAAGGGATACTTAACATTTATCCTGCATGTCTCCTGTGTTGGTCAGACTTTTGAATCTCCTCAAAGGATAAATTTGGTTCAGCTCAAGCTAGTTCTATAAAACTGTCATGGCTGCTGTTAATTATATTTTTATCTTTTAATTCTTTAACAGACAATAAAAAGCTCCAGCCTTTCCATTGTTTTATCCAGGAGTGATGTCAGACCAGGTGGCCTCAGCTCCCTTGGTCATCCTGCTTTGCCTTTTGCATCAAAATGTTGGATCAGCTGTTTGTTCTCAAAGGTGGTCAGTCTCTTTCCTCTGTACCTGTGATTGTGAAGGCTCTGATGCACCTCTGTGCATGACCCAAAGGCACACCCAGCAAAGTCACTGGTTCCCAAATCTGTGCATGCATCTGTGACCACCCCACGTGGACACTGTCTGTAGGACTTGGCTAAATGGGCACTGTAAAATTCAAGTGCAGGTGGAGACAGATGAGCTCTTGAAGCACCTGAACCACCTCCTTGTCTGCCACGACTCCTTCAAAGAAAGAGAAATGCAAAATGTGTGATTTTTGTCTTGTTACTTCCCTGATGTTACATCCCACCATTCCTGCACATTAAGGTGGCACATGAGGTGTCTCTGCCTCTCAAAGTATGCACCATGTTAGGCTTTGCTTGTTCCTCAGGCCAGCTACCATCTGTGCACTCTTTGCTCTGGGGCAGATCATAGAATCCCAGACTGGTTTGGGTTGGAGGGACCTCAAAGCCCATCACCTTCCACCCCTGCCATGGCAGGGACACCTCCCACTGTCCCAGGCTGCTCCCAGCCCTGTCCAGCCTGGCCTTGGACACTGCCAGGGATGCAGGGGCAGCCACAGCTGCTCTGGGCACCCTGTGCCAGGGCCTCAGCCTCCTCCCTGGGAAGGATTTCTTCCTCATGTCTAATCTAACCCTGCCTTCTGTCAGTGTGAAGCCATTGCCCCTTGCCTTATCAATCCAGGCCCTTGTAAATAGTCTCTCTGCATCTTTCTGTACTGTTCAGGTACTGAAGGTTGTGAATGATTTTCTGTGCCTCCAGCAGCAGGGGTGTGACAGCAGGAGGGCACAGCTTTGCTGTGACTGTCACCTTTTAGGCACTTGCACCTTGCCCTCTGCTCCAGTGGTGCTGTTCCAGGCAGGCAAGGCTCAGCCTCTCCTCCGTGCATCCCTCACAAACCTTCCCTCCAGGCACTGCAGTGGCCCCTCAGTGGTTTCCCAGGGCAACAGATCTAGTCTAGCTTTAACCCTTTATCTCCTTGGAAGGATGGAAGCACATTCTGAGTGCTGGCAGGGAGCTGCAGGGTGAGGTTGGGAGCAGGAGGATGATCTGAGGTGCTTTTTGTGACTTCCCTGAGAAGACAAAGCAGGCAGTGGTTGTGCCAGGGATGTGTTTGTGTGTGAGCTGCCCCACACCCAGGTGTCCCCATTGTTACTTGGTGCTGTCACAGGTATCCCAGTCTGTGCTGGGCATCTCTATTTAATACCTACCTGTGCATGAGGTGAGGCTGAAGGAGCCTGTGCCTGCAAGAGGTGCTGGTTCTCCCACCCTGCTGCTTCTGGCAGAAGTGCCAGGTCTGTCATAGCCTGGATCCTTCACTGAACCTCAGATCCACAGAGTGCAGCACAGCAGGAGGTGACTTGTGCTCCTTCTCTCTTGGACACACACAGCACTTGTGAGTGGATTGTTGCTGTCTGTGTTCTTGGGTCAGTCCAGCACAAAATGTTGATAGTTCCTGTGTTCTCTAGGTAAATCTGCCCTTCTGCCCAGTATTTCTTCTTTATAGCCTCCAATGCCATGATTTTCACTTTCAGTGCAACTAGTTTGTGTGAAAATACCCTCTTGCTCTGTACTGTGTATTGTGTCCAGGTTTCTGCAGATGTTAACACTCCAGTTCTTGGGATTTGTTTTTTTTTTTTATACTGGCATGTTGGGTGTTTTTAGCTTGATTTGCTGCCCTGACCTAGGTGAACCTCTGGCAAAAGCCTCTCCAAGCCCTTCAGACAGGAATGTGGGTGTGTGCCATTAGTTAGGGGTTACATTAGTACAAGTACATGTGTTGTTGGGTATTTGATTCTACTGCTCTTAAATTTTATTTTGCACCTTCTGTATTAAATTACTGAAACTGAATATTTCATTCTTGTTCGGTGTGCTGTTAAATAAAATTCAAGCTGGAACCCTCTTAATTAGGCAGCAGTTGTTATATGTCAGTGAACTTGGTAAATAAGGATTCCCTTGACAGTTTTAGATTGAATTGTAGAGGTATGTCTGACCCATTTCTGGGTATTTTTGACAGTACAGTGTATTCATCAAGGCTGTTTAGTGAGGGGAGAGGCTGATTCTGTGAAGATAAAGAGGATGCCAAGCTTTTCCTGAATAGTTCAGCTGCTTGGCTGTGACCCAGCCATCATAGCAATTAAGGTATTAACTGATGAACAAGTGAGGCTGGAGCTGGGTGACAAGTCAGGGCTGTTACACCTCTCCAAGGCAGCCTTGCTGCCCTCACCATTCCCACACAGTGCCTGAGCTCACACTGGTACCTGTGGTCATGGGATTTGAATTTATGGAGAATCTGCTGCTGCCCTGCCAGTGAATCACATCCATTTCTCTGTCACTTTGCTCTTTGAGGCAGGGAGAGCTTGGACAGCTCAGGAGAGGAGGAGACTGAGGGCAGAGCTCAGGGGGGCTGCAGCTCCTCCCCAGGGCAGCTCTGATCTCTGGGACAGGGAATGGCTGGAGCTGGGCCAGGGCAGGTCAGGCTGGATTTTGGGAAAGGTTCATCCCCAGAGGGTGCTGGCACTGCCCAGGCTCCCCAGGGAATGGGCACAGCCCCGAGGCTGCCAGAGCTCCAGGAGGGCTTGGACAATGCCCAGGCACAGGGTGGGAGTGTTGGGGGTCTGTGCAGGGCCAGGGGTGGGACTGAGTGATCCTGGGGGTCCCTCCCCACTCAGGATATTCCATCACTCTGTAATTTTCTTGTGGTGTGTTGTGTTGGCTGCTTGTTCCAAGATCTGCTGGTTTCTCTGGCCACTCCTGGCACTAAGTCCCCCTGGCCCATGGCCACAGCTCACTGCCCCAGAGCTGGCCTCAGACCTCTTCTTCAATGGATTTGTGCTTTTTCCTGCAGAAGGGGAAAGGAGTAACCCTGGCAGTGGTGATCACACAGTGGGATTCAGCTATGCAGGAGCCTGTAGCCAAATTAGGCTTTTACATTAATTGAAATAACTTCTAAGCTCATTCTATTGGTTATCATGTGTCTGTTTGCAGCTGGATGTGTTAATTTTTGTTCATACAATAAATGCATATGAGCTCCCTCACAGCACCAGAGTTTTAGTTGATCATTTGTACATTTAAAAGTGTTTGAAGTTCTTATATATGGATGTTTTCTGAGCTAAATGTCACCTTCTGTGTGATACTGGAGGTACCTTTTGTTGAGCTTCAGGAGTTCTTTGTGTTACAGAAACCTTGGTTTTTTTGCCTGTCTCTCACCATTTCATTGCAGAGTTAAAAGAATTACACTTCAGATTTCTCAAGTCCATGCAAGATTTCTTTAGCCCAAATACTAAGCCTAATGTGAAGATTTAAAAGGAAGGAGAATGTTTCTTCTCCTCAGCATTTGAGACAAGAAAGGGAGGTCCTGAATGTCATCCTCTGTCCTGGCACCGTAGGGCTGGCTGAGATCCCTCACCACCAGCATTAGTTCACTTCAATAACTTCAGTCACATCTTGGAAGAACCTTCCTCAGGGGAAAGAATGGAAATCTGAGAAGCCCAAGGTGGAAGCCCAGGCTGCTTTGCCTGCCTGGAACACCAAGGCTGGAGTACCCTTGTCTCTATTTCCAGAGTGATCTTGTTGATATCTCATAAGATGTGTTCTAATCCTGTGGCATTGCCTTTCAGGTACAAAGATGATGTTGACAGCCCTACTGAGGAGAATGGGAAGCAGAAGGTGCTGTACAGCCTGGAGTTCACCTTTGATGCAGATGCCCGTGTTGCCATCACAATCTACTGCCAGGCTACAGAGGAGTTTGTTGGTGGCATGGCCGTGTAAGTCCTGGGCTGGTGGGCACAGGAGGGGCACAGGGGCTGGGATGATGAGCTCTCAAACATTTCATTAATCACCCCTGAGGCAGGGCTGCCACACATGGTAGAGTGGGAAATTTTTTTTTTTTCCTGATGACTTTGAATATTACTTTCAATTCCTTCCCATAGCCAATATCTTCTCTTGTTCCCTTTTTAGTTTAGGTATAGGGAAACCATTCTGTGTGCAACAAAGGAGAGGAACTCACAGCTGTATGTTTTGTCAGGGAAGTGTTCTGTGAAATTAAAAAACCAACCACCCTTCCCTTCAAATACTGCCTATTTTTTCCCCCAGATCACCCAACTGACTGCCTTTCTGTGTTCCCTGTGACAGGAGCATCTGGGCCACCAAAGTAAAGTTCAGTCTGACATTTACAGAGTGAGTCTGTGGCATTGAGGCCCACCCAAAGCCCATTTTGGGATAAATGCCCAGCTCAGCACTGGCTGTTGGGAGATGGGAGAGGATTTACTTCCTGCAGCCCTGTCTGTGTGTGTTTCCTGCCATGTACACATTAGTCTGTGGTTAGCTGTGGAAAGAATGACCAAAATGACATCTGTGGGAACCTTCTCATATCCTGATAGTACATCCCTCCAGAATTGAAAACCTTTTTATCTAAATCAGCACATTTAAACCATTCCAGTCAACACTGTATCCCACAAGACTATGAAAATTTCCTCTCTATGTTCAGACAAAGGTGGCTGGAATGTGCTCTGCTGATGTGAGCTGGGTACATGTGAGCTGCTGCTATGGTATGGTGCACTTCCAATGCCATGGGACAAAGAATTCCTTCTGCTCCAGGGGTAAAGGAAGATTCAGGCTGCAGAAGCTCTTGGCTTCCTCTAGCAGAGGCTTTTGGCTGACCAGAGGCTCCTGGACATAGTGCTGATGGCTTCTGCAGTGATGCTCTGGAGCTGGGGCTGAACTTTGCCTTGGTTGAAGGGACCTGCAGAGGCTTCAGCAGGGAGAAATATCTATGGCAAACCATAACAGGGCTTATTTGTTTTATGCAAAGCATAAACATCCCACTAATGATCAATGAATAGTGTATTTTTAGGAATGAGAGTGGCTCAATTCTCCAATCCAGATATGCATTCCTTCAAACTGGAGGATATCCTGATCCAGAATTTTTGTTCAGGCCCCTTTCCCTTCTTCTGTTGAATCCTATGGCTGCCTTTATTTTGGGGAGGTAATAAATGAGCTCCTTTTTAAAGTGCTTGAAAATTATCTCTCAACAAACTGAACACACTTTCTGTTTAGATCCAGCTTTTCCAGAGCAGAGCTGAATGCAGCTTTAGAAATCCTGATGAAGTTTCCATGTTCTGTCTCTTAGGTCCTTAGGTTTCCTGTGAATTTAGTGCTAGTGAAGGTGTTGGAATGGCAGCCTTGGAGATTGAAGTCCTCTTTCCCTACCACAGGTACAACGTGGAGAGGTGGCCAGTGTCCCTGGTGCTGCCCTGCAGTGTTCCTTGGGTTTTGACCTCAGAAGGAAACCATCCATGGGCTGATGGGGAGAGCTGAGGGCCTCTATGGCCAGGGTGGATGTATTTACATTGTTAGACTTAAGCCATGGCTTAAATCTGTAAGGCTTGGTTTAAATAATTGATTTTAATCTTGTTTTCCCTGTTGGTTTACCCTGAAGGAGAATTTCATTGTCACTGGTCAGTAGCAATGAAACATCTGCATCTACAGCACAGGGAGCTTCATATCAAACCTTTTGCTATATTTTTATGCCACAGTCTGTAAAGAATATCCATATAATTTAAAATCTATTTTTCAGACTCCCACTTTTACATTTTATGCCAAAATGGCAATAGAAAGAAATATTTTAATTTTTTTTCAGCCCATGTCTTGAACCAGGCTGTGTTGGGCTGGAATTGTACCTGAGTGACCCAAGAGCAGCAGTGTTTGTTCTTGTTGGTTAAACTGCTCATGTTGGACTCTTAAGAGACTCTCTTGTCAAATTGTGCCTTGAAGAATAATTGCTTAATAGAATTGTTTTAGTTACCAAATATAACCAACTGTTTCTGCACAGAGAGTGTTTTCAGTCCTCTGTAACTTACAGTTGCTCTCCTCTTGGCTGGTTGGTTGGAGGAAGAAAACACAGGTTTTGGTTCACTTAAAACCACTTTTTTCTGAAATTTAGTGCCATTCACTGAGCCAGTGACTGTCACCAGTGCTGTTATCTGTCCTTTAAAACTTGTGCAGCAAACATGAGCTACCCAATGGCTTTTAAATTAATTTTGAACAATTCCTAGGTAGAGTTTCTGAACATGAACAGAGCTGTTGACTTCAAATATTTTTTTAAAAATATGAGTTATTTTAATCCACCCTGTCCATGGTTCAGTGAGAGAGGGATCTCTGTTAGATGGCAGAATTGAAGCCTGTGTTCCTGAACCCTCTGCATGAAACCAGGATCAGCAGTGATTTCCCCACTAATGAAAAATTGGCCAGTGGTTCTGTGCTGTCCTGCTGGGGTGGCAGCAGTCCCTGGTGCACTAAACCTTCTAAAAGGTCAAAGCACCCACATTCAGCTCTTTCTTCCACTTGTGGCCTTTCATTTAATAAATCATACTTCCATTCTCCAAAATACAGGAATGAGGAACTGCCTGTGCCTGCTCTGGGCTGCTTGAACAATAAATGTTATGTAAATGTGGGTGCAGGGGCTGCACCAGAAGCCAGGGAACTTTTTGGAAGGCATGATCCTGATTTCGTGCAGATGTGTAGGGGGGAAGTCAGATACAAATATAGACTTTATAAGCTGCTTTAATTCAACCCAAGCTATTTTTCCATGTGGAAGTGGCTCCTGAAGCACGTCTTGGGGCCAGTGCAGCTGCCCAAGTAGGCATCTCTGCTTCTCTGGATTTGCTGGCTGCTAGTAAAAACCTTTTGAAGCTCTGATTTCAGCTTTGCAAAGCAGTTCTGTAAGGGCAATGCTGTAATTACTTTGATTTATTCTTTTCAAAATCTTGTGGAAAAAAAAAATCTGGGCTGCATTCTTCGAGCTCTGAGTGGAGCAGTGCATTTCAGTGCACTAACAGGAATGCAGCTTTCCCTGCCTGGGCTGGTGGATTTTCCTTTTCCTCAATCTCTTTTGGTGCTAACAGCTGCATTCATGGAACAAGCATGTGCAAAAGCTGTCCTGTGTATAAATTCAACACTTCTTCTATTGCACTTGATTGGGATGAAGATGCTCTTTAAAATAAAACACCTTTTTTTTTTTTCCACTCTCCTAAATCAATGCTGAATCTTAAAATGGGAGAAACTTTCTGGCCCCCTGTGAAAAGCAGGAATTTTCTCCCAGCTCTCAGCCTGCAGCATGGCTCCTTAGAAGTGCTAAACAAGTTATTCCTGCTTCCCTGCTGGAACAGCCACTGATCCTGATAGTATCAGTACTCCTGCAAAACTCCTGCCAGCAACGTGGTTGTGGTCATGCACTTTGGGGTGAGAGCAGGGAGGGGAGGGGAGGGGAGGGAAGGGAAGGTGGCTCTCCCTGAGCAGTGGCTTTGCTTGTTGTGGAGCCTCTGCTCACCTGAGAGCCACAGCACTGTGTCTTGGGCCTGGCTTTGGGATTAGCTGGTTTCCATGACCAAGGGGAAGCCTTTCTGCAAGCCAAGGAGCTTCCTCCTGGAGTTATTTGGGCTCCATTTAAAAGCTGGTGGCTTTGTCAGTCCTGTCCTGACCTGTCTCAAAGTAAGTTCAGCAGACTTTCCCAGGTAATTGTGCTGGGAGATACACTCAGCTGCAGTATTTCCTGGCCATGGGAACACATAGCTGCCAACAGCTGCCTGCCTCTTGTCCTGAACTGCTGAACTCACAGGGAGCTGTGTCATCACTTTTGTGGGACCACAGATGACCAGCAAGGTCTGGTGAAGGTGATTGTGTTGGTGATTTAAAGGTGTGTTCACTTCTGCAGCCCCATGCCCAGGGGAAGGTACCTTGCACTTTCTGGTGCTAGTGCAGATATGTGTAGAAGCCTTTTGGATGAAACAGAAATTAGTTTGAATCTGGACTGCTCCTCTCACCTTTGAAATGCCTTTTGCTTGGTTACTTTGTGGTGAGATCAATTCTCAGAGGATGAGCTAGTGAATCACCCCGAGGGTAACAGATCTGCCAGTGTCCAAGTCTCTTTAGTGGCAAGGAATTAGCACTGACCTGCCTCTGAACAGCTCAAGACCCCCCCTCAGTATCTTCAATTTTATTTCTTTTTCTGGCTGTGTCCATTTTCTCTAGTTTTGGAAATCAGGAGAAACATGGAGATGTGTGAGCTGTGCCTCAGCTGCTCACTAGTGGTTGCCCATGATGTAATTTTCCTCCAGATAAAGGAGAGGGTACTCTGCATTGCATTTCCATGGTGGGGCTGGCAGCAGCTCACAGAGAATAGTTAAAAGACTCCAGTTGTAGCCTGCCTCCTCCTGCAGTAACTGCTTCATGTGTTTGTACCTTAGATACCCTGGTTTGGGAGACAAGTGTGTTTTTGGAGCAGGCTGCAGGGATATTTGTATTCTCTTTTTATGAGTGCATCCCTGCCTTGTGTGGCAGAATCCTGGATGTGCACACCATTAGCCTTCTCCTGGGAGGGCCTCTGGGACTGTTCCAGCTGTAGGTGTCCTGCTGACTAGCAGGAAGGATTGTGCAGTTCAAACATGACAGCAGCAGTTCTTTCCTCAGGGGAAGAAGTCAAACCAAGCCTGAAGCTGGAAGCACTTAAAAGAGCCAGTTCTGAAAGCATGAGCAATCCAGGCAGATCAGGAGCTCATGATAAATATGACGTGAGAGCTTGGAGCCTTGCAGCCCATTCTTATGAAAAAGATCTTCCTTTTTGGACACAAAAGATTCTCTCCCATATCCCAGTGCTGTTCCCAAGTTCTATTTTCTCAGTATAAAGAGAAAACAGAATGAAAATAGGTCAGTCTAGCTCTGCAATCCTTGCCCTTTCTGGGGCTGTGCTGTTTGTGTTGCTGATGTGCAAATGGATTTATTAAAAAAATAAACCCCATTTCCTTGTTTGTTTTGCAATGTCCACTACACTCATCCCAAACCTCCTCCCACAGTTTCCTGAGCTGATGGGAGACATGACCCTGCAATGATTCCCTGCTCTGCCTGGTGTGAAAGTTGGAAGAGTTGGGTCCCAAAATGAAATCCAAATCAGCACACGGCTGTTTTCATTCAAGCCTGCGTAGGAGACAGAGGCACTCAGCTATCCCTTTGGTTATTTAATAGCCTCTGTCTGCTCAGGGCCTTTGAAAGGTGCTCTTGCTGCTTTTGGCTGTGGTGATTAATATGAATTCTTTGTGCAGAGGTTTCTTCTGTGTGAAGAAATCAGAGGCAGTGCTGGGTTTTGCTAGGAACAAGCCTTTGTGGCTTTGATCCAGGCACACACCAGGCCCCAAGGGAACACTGGAGTGTGCAGAGTTCACAGGCTGGAGAGCCAAATTCTATAGATTGCAACAAGCAGACAAACCCTCTGTCTGTCTTAAGAGTTGTGGCCTTTGTGGCTCTGTGTGTAGCTGTTGTGTGAGTTCTGAAGCCTGGCTGGAGCTGGGAGGGTGGTGCTCCCAGCAGCTGCAGATAGAGCTCTGCAGGGGCTGGGGGGGAATGTGGGCACTGGGGTTTCAGCTGTGTGGGGAGGGGGTTGTCTTTGCCTGGCTTGGAGTGGAAACAGTCCTGGAGGAAATAGGAGGGAAGGAGAAGACTCTCAGAGATTGCAATGCCCTAGCACCTGGTTAACCTCCAGACTCCTTGTGGGAGCCTCTGTGGGGTGGATATTGTCTAACTCTGACTGAGACCCAGGGCTATGGCCTTCCTGTAGTTTGGTAGTGTTCCTATTATCAGTAAAAGTAACTTAGAGTTGAAACATTTGTTCAGCTTCCCTCTTCCCCAAAACCTGACCTGTAGGATCCTCCTCAAAATGAAAGGGAAATGAGCAGGTGGGAGAGAGGAGCAGAGGATGCTTGTTCAACATCACCTCCTGTTCCCTATGAACACCAGCAGAGCTTGACTGACTCTTTCCTCATCACCTGTAAGAGGACATGGAGCCTGCCAGGCAGTCACAGCCTGTGGCAGTGATAGAATTGTTTCCTGAGTACCCTCTGGATTGTTTCCTGAGTAGCCTCTGGAGCTCTCCTGGTCCTTGGTTCACTACAGATTGCCATGAAACACATTTAGCTGCTGCTAAAGAAAGAGAACTCTTGTCTACAGGCTCTTCAAAGCACAGATTCCCTAAGCCATTTCTAGTCAAAAGTGTTACCTAAGGGCAACATTGCTCCATGCATCCTGCTTTTCCTGAGGAATGGGGTCTGGGCAGTGTTCTGGGTAAGTCAGGCAGCCTGGCAAGGATCCCTGTGTGGCACTTCTCAGGCAGGGGTCCCAGTGGGAGCAGGAACAGGAGCTGCCCTTTGCCTGCCCAGGACAGCCCCAGTGCCAGGCACAGCTGAGTGGGAGCACAGCAGTGGAGAGATCTGCAGGAGCTGGGACTGGTGCCCTGCTGAGAACTTCCCCAGGCACAGGCCAGGCATGAGGGAAGGAGCAAACACCCCAGTGAGCATGTAGCAACAGAAGTTTAATTCTGCTTAGCCAAACTCTAGCATGGCACTTCTGTCTAGGGAGCTGCTTAGGGTCTGCAGGTGCCACAGACTGAGTTTCTCTGTGCAGGCAGTGGGTGCTAACAGAGGAAAAGTGAGACTGGGAAATAATTTTAGTTTGTTCCAGTTCTCTCAGAAGTCACTGGGATATGGTTACAGCCCTCTCAACTGCTGGTTCTCTGCTGGCTTTGGAGGGTATGACATGAGGGAAGAAGGAGTCAGTACAGAGTGTAGTTTGCTTTTTGTGAGTAAAGGTGTTTCACAGAGCTCACAGGATGGAGATGGGCTGCATGAACCCTGAGGACAGAGCTGGGGGCTGCTGCTGCAGCCAGCAGTGGGGTACCTCAGGCTGCTTGTGGTTCTCGTGCTCTCAGGGGTACCTGAGCAAACAAACAGGGTTAAAATAATGTGACCAAGGATTTCTGTGTGCTCCTGACCTTATAGGACAGACCTCCCTCACTTGTCCACTGTCCTGAGCTGTCAGTGGTCACAAGGTGGTTTTGTCCTCCTCTGGAGGAGGCCTGGCCCAGTACAGTCTGAGCAACAGCAGCTCAAACATTCAGCTTTCATTCTTCCTGCAGAGAGAGGCAGCGTGTTGCTTCTCTGCTGTCCTTTATTCTTTGATACATGTTCTTTTTTCTGTAACACATCTGCACAGCTCTACAGAGCTTCCCTGCTGTTGTTTGCTGCGAGCCCCCAGCAGCACAGGCAGGGAATAGATAACTGTGAATAGAGCAGATGCCAAGCAGAGGAGCAGGGGATGGGTAGAGGCCCCTTAGACCCTGATATGCAGGATATCTGCTTTGAAACAGCTTGTCTAGTTTCCCTCCTGTGTAGCACAGGGAGGGTTGTCTTGTGCAGAGAACCTTTGCATCCCATTGGAACCTTTGCATCCCAAAGGATGGTCCATTTCTGTGAGGCAGTCAGGGGCCATCAGACTTGCAGGGAATTCACCAGGCCACTGGCTGGAGGTGCTCAGAGTTATCTGGGTGTTCAGATCCAAGTCTGATGTGTTTTGGCAGTGGGGGCCAGGCAGTCACACAGTCTGAGGCATAAAGCTCACTTGGGGAAGCCTCCTTAATAATTTTGTCCTACTCTTCAGCTCAGAAAATCTATGTGCCTGGTTTATTTCTTTTCCCAGGGACGGTGAGAGCAGCGAGTCAATGTGAGTATTATTCTGCCCTGTCCTCCTTGGAAGAGTGTTATTTGTTTTTCTGTTGCAGCCTAGTTTGGGTTTCTGGTGCTGTAAATGCAGGTCCTCCAGCATTCCTGGCACTCAGCAGCATCATGTTTACACCCCTTTCCCACCTCCACTCTCTCCTCTGCACTTTATTTCCAGTAAGTTCCTGACTTGCTGTCACCTTAGATAAGTCACTCTTCCATCTCCTGCTTTCCCAGCTGTGGAGGGAGAATTGTGCCTCTCTGCAGAGCTGGGAAGCTTTGAGAGCACCACAAAAGGAGCTAGATACAGGCTTGCTCTATTCATTGTGCTTGACAACTCAGTAAATAAAACTTCACTCAATTGCTCGCTCTGTAATTCACATATAAAAGACCTGTCACTCTGATCTCCCCCACACCATGCTTGAAATGCAAAGGATGGAGTGAGACCTTCTAGTAAAGCAGCACAATTTCAGCACAGTACAGGATGGGCTCTGAGGGTATTGTCATAAATAACTTAATGCACCTGCCTTGGCAGGAAGAGCAGAGTGCACATGGTGAACCTGCCCTTTGTCACAACATTCCAGCATTTTACATGGATCTTGTGACACTTGACCTTCTGGATCCTCAGAGGGCGCAGGAACTGTTGGAGCTTTCCAGAGAAAGGCAGAGGATTTTCTTGTGGGGCTGGAGCCTGTCTTGTCACTGTGCTGAGGGAGGATGTTGCTGCAGTGTCTCTTGGGCAGGGGATCTCTCACCTTCTCTCCAGTTTTGTCAGTGTGCTCTGAGCACACAGTTGGTCATTTGACAAGAAAGGCTTTGGTGGGAAAGGCAGCTTCAGCTGTTCCCACCCTGCTTTGGGGTTCACTGCCTCATCTCCTGTGCCAGAACTGGGAGAGCCTGTGCACATCCAGCTCAAGACATCACCCTCCAGAAAGGGGGAGTGGGCAGGGAAATGTCTCCTGGGGAGGACAGCACCAGGTGGGCTCAGGGTGCAGAAGATGGTGGATGGCAGCTGTGGTCCCATTCCAGATGTTATTCCAGCCTGGCAGTGCAGGTCTTTCAGTGACAAGCTTTGAGACAGTGGAAGAATTGTGACTCTCCTCTGGGTGGCTGGGTTGGAGGATGGTTGATGTCTCTCAGGTGCTGTTGGTAGCCCTGCATCACCCCTGGGGAAGCACAGGAGGGAGTGAGGAGTGGATTGAAGGCTTAGCAGGATGGTGGAAGCCAAGCAGCATTTCCCACTGTGGAGCTGTCCCACGGAGGCACAGGAGAGCTTTCAGCACCATGCTGGGCTGTCTGTTCCCAGTGTTAGGTTCTTGTTCCCAGTGTTAGGTCATAGCTTGTTCTTCCTGGGTTTCCTGCAGAAATCAGGACTGTGCTGGGCTTCAAGCCAGCTTAAAGCTAGGCCATGGATTTAGGGAGCAGGCCTTTGCCAAGCTGCTGCACCCCCTGTACTCAGCACCCAGGCAGGTCAGTATGGACACGATCAGACCTTGCCTGTCTGCGCTGCTTTCTCTTTCCTGTGCTCACCTTCTTGCTTTGACCTTTCCCTCCCCTCTTTGTGTCCCCACTGAATGGCTGCCAGCCCCTGCCAGCTCTGCCCTTAGAGCTGCCACTTGTGATTCCTGAGAGGCCGACGGGCGGGAGTGAGCCAGAGCCGCGCAGGGAGCAGTCCTTGGTCACACTGAGTTTTCTTTTCCCCTTCCCTCAGATACAGCACAAAGAATCCCTCTCTGCAGTCTGAGACAGTTCACTACAAGAGAGGGGTAAGCCAGCAATTCTCCCTGCCTTCCTTCAAGATTGATTTCTCAGAGTGGAAGGATGATGAGGTAAGTGTCTTCTCAGTGTCCCCTTCTTTCCACACCCTGTTGTCCCAAAGCACTGGGCTCTGTTTAGTGCTGTCCCCCACTATGGCTGGGGGACACTTTCTCCCAGCTCCTCCAGTGTGTTTTGTGGGTACTGCCCTGAGAGGAGCAGTATGGGAACTTGGCAGGCAGATGAGGCCAACTGGGAGGAAATCCAGAGAAGTGACTTTTGATATCAGTGATCAGCTGATTTAGGAGGGAGGCTGCAGAGATTGCCACTGGAGCTTTTCCTGGAAAACCTGCTTTCCTTGTCCTTCCTCTCTCTGCCATCCAAAGAGCTTGTGGGAACAAATGTCTGTCGTGATCTCTGTTTTTGTGGGTTTCAGTTGCAAGATTTTGGGGGTTTTTGGGTGGGCCTCTAGAACAGTGGTCTCCAAAGTGAGGTGCAGGCAATAAAATTCATTGGGGTGTGGCAAGGACTTCAGAACTACATGTATATAACCCACAGATGATAAGCACACATATCTTGGGAATGTGTACTCAAAACACACTACTGATGGGATGAATAGTGTGGAGACCACTGCTCTGCAAGAGTCCTGTTCTGTTGAAGGACCACATCCTGCACTATTGTCTGTATCAGTACAGTGTTGTGAAGGGATATTCTCCTTCTGGGGCAGATTTACACTGGTGCATCAATGCTGAATAAGGGAATGTTTTCCTCTTCATAATTTAACCCATAACTGCAAACAGACCAGGGCTTGGTTTTAATTAAGGTTTGTGGCTTTTCTGCATACTAAGACTTGTGAAGTCCTGTTAATTTTGGTATCTTTGGTATCTGCAAAATTCCAACATGGGCAGTAAGCCTCTCATTTCTGAGCTTTAAAACTTTCACCCAGAGGCTTCCCCTGCACATGCCATATGGAAGGAAAGCCTTGGTCTTCCACCTGCTCTGTGCAGAATTGTGGTAAGATGTTTCAAAGGCAGAATAGTTGTTCTGTAGCTATTGCTAATATATTTGTTCCTCTCCCAGGAAGTGCACACTGATAATGGTGCTCATTTCCTGACCCAAGCCTGTGCAAGTGTATTGTGTATGTGAACCTTGGTAGATAACTCTACCTATTAAAAAAAAAAAAAAGAAAAAAAGGGAAAAAAAAAGAAAAAAAATAATCTTTCATGTATTTGAAAGATTGAATAGCTATTGTCCTGAAGTTACAGTTACAGCTATAATCAGTCCCGTGCCTTAACAAATGCTGTGGTGGTTACCAAGAGCCTGCAGAGTCTGGTCTCCTGATGTCTTGGCTTCTCTGCCAATAGATGATTTCACAAGTTCAGCCTACAAAAGCCTGGAAGAGCTGCTTTTCAATCCCTTCTGTTGTCTGAGAGAGCTCAGTTCCCTTTCTTCTAAAAGAATTGAGAAGCTTAATTTTTACTTTTGTTCCTGTCAGCAAGGTTTTAACTCAAGTACTAAAGTCATATTCCTTTGACAGCTTAAAAGAAAAATGAGTTTCCAGCTCTCTTTGGTTGTTCTGCATCCTCTGTTTCCTCTTTTTACATTGGTGTTACTGGGAGCTGGAAAAAATGTGGAACAAGCACTGTGATTCCAAAGAGTTTCCCTCCCATGTCAGCTCTGTGTTACATATTGCTCCTTGTCCTAAATCTTCCCAACTGGCCACCAAAATGCAGCACTTTTATCTGAGACAGCTGGCAGTGTCTTAGCTGTGTGCAATTGACATTTCAGATTTCTTTCCAGCTTTGTTATTGGTGTTGTTCAAAACCCCCAGATTTATTTCATATTTTTGCTTAGTGTAATACTCGGATATGACGTAGATCTTGGCTGGGGAAGAAGGGAGACTGATGTTATGTTGGGTTGTTCTGTGAAAAGCTTTATAAAAGTTTATTTTATCTTCTTCATTTACTGATTTGCTTGGAAATTACAGAGTATGGCTATTGTTGAGTGAGTTGTGTTCAGGGCCCTAAAAATGAATGTGAAATGGTGCCTTTTGTTCAAGAGCACTGGAATTTATATGGTGAAGCAACCTCAGTTCTGTGATGTGACTTTCCCTTCAAATGGTTTCTCTTTTGAGGAACTGGAGCAAATCAGGCTGCAGATGATGTTGGGGCTGTGGCAAAGTGATGGAAACCCCAAAGCACTGTCTGAACTGCTGCAGCACCTGGAATTGGGTCTCAGTTTTCATAGAGAAACTGAAAACAGATTACCTGGAGCATCAGGGTGAAATGACATCTTTTTTTCAGTCTTGGCAAGAGATGAGACAAAACCACCCAAGTTGGTAATTAACAAAAACAACAGAAATCCAGTCTCTGAGCCACTTCCTTTCCTGGCTTAGGACAGTGTTTGTAAGGTTGCCTTTTCCTTGTATTTCTAAGATGACACAGAGCTTTTGATGTGCTTTAATGAAGTGTAGGGCAAAGGGAGAAACTGAGACTGTTTCCTTTGCGCTCAAATTTTCACTCTCACCAATTAGAAACTTAAGGACCTGCATTTCATGACATGCCAAGAGATGAAAATCAGTCCTGTGTTTCCTTAAAGTGTTGTGTGAGCTTGAAGTTTTGCAGATTTTTCTCTTATGTCTTCAGGAACTTCATAGCAGAGCCAGGGTCTCTTGGTGGTGTTGGGAGCACAATGTGCTGCTGTGCTGAGGCCAATGTATCCTGTTGTATGGAGGCAAAATTGTGGCACTGGATATATTTTGAGAAACTTGTCCTACTACAAATCACTCAGAAGACTTTTAGAATCCATGAATTAATGAGAATTAAATACTATTTGGAATTCCAAGTGAGGTCCTTTGCCTTGCTTTGCTGGTGTTTAGTGCCACGTCAGTGTGTGTATGTTGGAGTTGACTCCCTTTTAAAGTTGGTGCCTGGAATTTTAAATCCTCCTGTATTGATGTAGGATGATCCCCATCTAGGGAATAATGTGCTCTGACTCCACGATTTCAGAAGGCTGAAGAAAAGCTTTATTAAGCTATACTATGCTATATTACACTACATACTCCACTATATCAAACTATACTGAAGAAAACCCGTGACCCTTACAGACAGTCATGACACAGCTTTGACCTAATTGGTCACTCAATCTAAACAACCATCACCAGTGTCCAATTAAGAAATCTTTCTTTGGCAAACAGTCTTCATAACACATTCTGCATGTGCTAAAGAACAGATGCAGCAAGTAGAGCTAAGAATTGTTTTTCTTCTTCTCTGAGTTTTCTCACTGCCTTCCCCAGGAAAAATCCTGGGAAAGTTGTGCCTGATGCTCTCTGTGAAGGGAGCTGTGGCCACACTCCTGCTCTGTTGTGTCCTTTTGAGACCAGGAGCTGGGGGTGTGTCAGAAGGATCCCTCACTGAGCTGACATGATCTCAGGCAGGTTTGCTGTGTTGTCTTCAGGCAGGTTTGCTGTGAGTTGTGTAACCTCAGCTCATTTCTTTTCCTCAGCTGAACTTTGACTTGGACCGTGGCGTGTTCCCTGTGGTCATCAGAGCAGTGGTGGATGAAGGGGATGGTAAGAGTTGATGTTCTGTTCCCATGGTCTTCTCCTGGCTCTCTCTGAGCTTATGTGACCCCTTTCAGGACTGGCTTCCTTGGGGAGCCTTTCCAGAAGAAAAATATTTCAGGAGTTCACCGTAACTTCCCTTTATTAAAAGGGCCAAGCTAACCACATAAAAACCATACTTTTAAAAATAGCCTTCATTGTTTTACAGGAAAAATGGCCAGGTATTTAGTGTTGGAGTAGTGTTTAGGAGAGCTCCTGGCTCTGCCACCAGTGCCAGGCACACAAATTAGAGCAAATGGCATCCTTGCTTGTTGGGTTTTGCTTTTGCAGTTTATGGGTCAAGGAGGGTGGAGCTGGTCTTTTCTCCCTCTTGGAGGGGTCAGTTGTCTTCCTAAAAACCTGGAAATGGGCAGGGAAAAGGAAATGGCTTTAAAGTACTCAGGTCACTCTTCAGCCAAAGGCAGCTTCATTCAGCAGTTGAAATTATGCTTTTTCTGAGGATGTTGAATGGCTATAATAAAAGAGCATAACCTTTCAGGAGAAATAATTATTGATTAAAGTTTAAAAATAATTAATAACTAATCATAATTTGAAATTATGATTAATTGATGATTCTTTTTTAAAGCACACTGCTCTTTTGGAGAGGGTAGTCCAGTGAATATTTAGACTTTTATTTTTAGATTATTATTCACCATACATGGTATTTCCCTTAGGGGATGTGTGCTTTTGGGCTCATCTGGAGTGTCAGCAATGAACAGGGCACAAGGAAGTCACATTTTCGTTGAAATTGGGGGCTTTTATGGACAGGAGGACCAGCATTTCACTTCTGTAACATTTTGTACAAACTTTAAGATAATTAGAAAAGAAAAGAAAAATCCATTGTTGGTCACATTGTTCGGGTCAGTCACTTGCTCAGTTTCTTATGTTGTAAATGTGAAAAAGCTCAAAAACTCATTACATTGTTTTACAGTCTTCCAAGCAGACAGAAATAGAACTGAATAAGCCAATTTAAAGTGTGACTAACAAAGCACAGTGCAACATAAAGAAAATTACTTCCAAAGTGCATCTATTTTTAGTGATTTCAGGCACCGTTAGTAAAATCGACATATATGTGTATTTCTTGACCCTAAATATAAAACAGCTTCCTCTGTTTATGGAACTTCTGGCAAGGTGTTTATACTCTCTAATGTTGGGCATGTCTAGAAGGATCAAAAATAGAACAGGAGGCAGTATGGGAAGCATACATTTATGCACATACCATGCCCAGCCTTAGCCAATCATCTACTCCCATCTATTTTAATAACCTAGAAAACCAACTGCTTTTAAATCCCCTCCTGGAAAGAATATCAGCACAAAAATGTGTGACATTTGAGCAAGATTTGAGGAAATTGTGTATTTTGGTTCTTTTTTTAACTGATGGGACTGGAAGGAGCTGGCGTGGTGTGTTTGGAGCACCTGGAAAATGACAGCTGTTAAATGAGGTTGAATGGTAAATTAAAATAGCAGTCAGGGAGATGCTGGTTTGGACTGAACTCTGCCATGGCTTGCAGTGACAGCCCTGCCAGTGGGATTGTTCCCAGGGAGGGGCACAGAACAGGAAGGAAAGGTGCTGCACAGAGCAGATCTCACCACTCTGAGCTGTGACCTCTTCCTTGGCCATTCACACTGAGGGAAGGGACCTGAATTTTGCTTACTCTGAGACACAGAGCTGTCTTGCTCTTGGCTGGCAGTGAGGGCAGCAAGAAGATGAATTCCCAGTTTTAACCCCCTTTTCTGCATTGTGTTGTGTTCCTGATTCCACCCAAATTGCCATGACCAACCTCAATTACCCAGCAAATCTGCAGGCAAATCTCCCCTCTCTCCATACAGCTGTTTCCAAACATGGCCTGAGTGCCACAGTCCAGGGAATTGTTCCTCTGTTGTCCCTGCTGTTCTGGGAGCTCAAAGGAAGCTGTGGAGCTCCTTTCCCTTTTAGACAGAGCAGGAGTTGCTTCCTTGAGCTGCCCCTTCCAGGCAGAGCTCTCCTGCCTGTGCTGAGCACAGCCCTCATCACTCCAAGCAGCATGAGAGCTTCCATGCCTTCCTTCCCTCTGTGACTCCTTCACAAGCTCTGTCTCCCATTTCCATATGAGGAGTCTGAACAGGATTCAGGAAAAGGATCCAACCAGCTGGAGCTGAACACAACCTCAGAGTCAGAGTGAGAGAGGCTGGGATTGTGCCTTGCCTCCTCTCTATTTGCTGAAGTAGCCAGGAATGCAGTACTGAAACCTCTGACAGCCCCTTCCCATTGCTGTGGAATTAAAAAGGAACCCTCAAGTTTGGAAGAGGGGAAATGCTTGTCTTTGGGGAAAGCTGGACAGAGATGTTTCAGTGTCTGAAGTTGGTATGAGAAATAAATGTTTTATAAGCATATCTGACCAGACTGAAATAAAATGATAAGTAACAGGGCTGGAAGTGCTGCCAATTGCTGTTAAACCAGATAGATCTGTGATAAATTCAGGTAATTAAGCCCAGGAATTTCAGGGGACAGGAGAATCCCACTGAGTGCTTTGTTTTACTGTCCCTTTCCAAGCTCTGCTAACAAAGTGGGATCTTGGAGCACCCAGGACAATGAAAGCATGGTTGTGTAGGGCTCAGCAGGGTATTGTTCTTGCTCTGTTCTGAACCCACCTGATGACAAGATAAGAGAAGTTCTAAATGCAGGAGGTTAAAATAGAGCAGATGGAAGCTCAGAAATTGTAAGTGGACTAAAATTCAGCTCAGCATACCTTTATGCTGGTACTGCTTGAGAGGTTTAACCAGTTTTGCCCTTTCTCTTTTTGCAGTGGTGGTTGAGGTCACTGGTCATGCCCATGTTCTTCTGGCTGCATTTGAAAAGGTAAATGAGGGTTTTTTTCATCCCTCTGTCCCTGTTCTTGTGTATGTAAACATTTCCATGGGTCATTAGTTTGTATTTATATAACACTTGGCACAGCAGAGTCCTGGCCTGTGCCTGGGGTTCCTGGCTGCTGCTGTAGTACAAGCAATCATTTGCAGCAGCTCCTGTGCAGCCTGTAATTATCATTTGTACCTGAGCTGGTCACTCAGGGAATGGCAGGGGTGTTTCCTGTGCTCCCATGGAGGGGGGAAGGTGTTGGCCATGGCTGCTATCATACAGTTTAACAGGGCTTCACAAGTTTTGCAGAACTGGGTCTGCTGTGTCCAGACCCTGTTGCACTATTGTTAGGCCTGAGTTTACACTCAGGACCAAGGATTGGAGTATATCCTGTGTAAAAGCTGAGTTCACTGCTTTTGAGTGGGGTGTTTGATGTAGCTGACCCCTGCCTACATGGTAAGGCCAAGCTGTGTGCACAAGCTTTGATAACAAACTCTTCCCTTGGTAACTGGACCCTGAAAACAGTTGCAATATCCATAAGTGGACCTAACCCTGTTGTGTCTGGTAGTGGTAACACTGCAGACACATTTTTTTGGGCAGGTGATACTTGCAGTGACATGCTGAGGTGAGGCAAGAGCTGCTGGAGCAGAGCTGGGAATGTAGAGTGGAGCAGCATCAGTGCTGTGCTGTTGGAAATTCCCCATTTCCCAGCTGGCAGGTGGCTGACTTGTGTGTCTCAGTGTGCCTGGTCCCTGCCAGGTCCTAAATCTGTTCCTCTGAGGTGGATAATGGGGATGGTGACAGGCTGAGTCAGAGGGCATGGCAAGCACAGTCAGTCCTAAGGAAGCATATGGCTGGGAGATGCTCTCAGTGTTCTAGGTTGCTTTTTTTGTTGGACATGGTCTGTGAAGGAAGTGAGTTTTCCCTTTTAGAAAGGCTGCTCTGAGCACTGGCTTTGTAGGTAGAGCTTCACTCCTGGCAATTGGGCATCTGTCAGAAATGAGATGGAGTCAGCTGCAGCACCCCTAGGACCAGGGCAGGGATGTTATTGTAGTTTCCTCTGGCTGATGTAAAAAAACAGCACTGGAATCCTTCAGTCATACTTCAGCCACTTCTTATCTCTCATCTTCCACTGAATGCTTAAAACAAGATTAAAATCTCCCTTTTAATAAAAAGTCACAAGGCAAAGTACATGTTGAGTTCTTCATCCTCCCTGTTTGGTTAAAATATATTCCCCATCCTTAAAGTAATTGCAGCTTTTGAAGTGTAGGTCCATAAATCCAGGGGAGGTCCTTGATAAAAGAGCACTGCTGATCCCCAGAGCTTGTTCAGAGGAAAAACAGACCAGCAGGACTTGGTAACTTGCTATTTGTATGTATCTTTAAGATCAGAGAAATAACCTTGATCCTGTGTGTAGTCTGACCTTGCAGCTGCTCCAAAGGCAGAAACTTTTTTGCCTGAAAACAGGGCTGTTTTGTCTGGGGTGTGATGTTGTCCCTTCCTTCTGAGACTCCTCCTGCAGGCCTGCAGCTGTTCCCAGGACCTGCTGGAGCATCCCCTGAGTCTCCTTTGCTGCTCTCTAGGCTGTGGCAGGGGAGTTGGTTTCTTTCAGTTTTGTGGATGATGGGGAAAGTAGAACTGGCACACTACTCCCATCACTAATTCTGGCACCAGGCATGCACAGGATTGTTCCAGCTGTGCCTGCTGCCACTGAGCAAATGAAAGGCTCATAGCTCTGAGGATGTGGAGCACATGGGACTTGTTTCTGACTCCATCCAGTGGACAAACCTTGTTCTCAGCCTCATGGCAGCCCCTTGCTCTGTCAGGGCTCTGCCCTTGAGTGGCTCTGTCATTTGGTGTTAGGGTGTAAACAAATATTCCCCCCAAGTCTTGCTGGACTGGCTGAAAGTGTCTGTACCCAGCTGGACTGCTTGCAGCCTGAAAGCATCCAGTGTGCCAGGGGAGTTTTGTGTGGGCTCTGACCCACTTCAGCCAGGTTTAACTTGAGCCAAGCCCACCTGGCTCTGCTCTGGAGCAGAGCAGTAGCTCCCCAATACCCTGTTCCACTAACTGTGCTGGGAGGGACTGCTGCCATCCAGGCTGATACACACCCCACTGTCCCCTTAGCTAGCAGGCACCAGCTCTGAAATGAGCCCATTCTGATTTGTACACTGCAGCTATTTCATGCTTTAATGTCTTTTTTTTCCCTGCTAGCACGTTGATGGCAGTTTTTCTGTGAAACCACTAAAACAGAAGCAGATTGTAAGTACCTGTTTCCTTTCTACTCTTAAAGCCTTGCTGGTGTCCTTCAGGTGCCTGGCTGTACCGAGGGAGGGTTTGGTGTTCACTGAGAGCCTGAGTCTCACCTCCTTAGCTCTGATATTGTAAGCAAAGGCAGCAAGGTGCTGCCAACCCTTCATTTTGCCATTTTGTCCCCCATGCTGGTGTGGTGTGATGTGCAGAAGCTGGGTAGTGTCTTATCAGGATTGAGGTTGCATCCAGTCCTGCACAGCCAGAAATACATAACCAGCTGGTAAGATTGTCAAGAATTTCAGCTTCTGAAAGGAAATCTGGTAGTGATTCTGCTGCAAGGATCAGCTTGAAATGTCTTCAAGAAAGAGAAGAAATTTTGGTGGTTGATCCTTTCAGCTTTAGCTGTGTGCTGTGTTTTAGCTTTAAATGAGTTTCACTTCATCTGCTTACTTGATAGCTAGGGGTTTCTGATTTGAATTAAGTCCCTTTTGCTACCAAGAAGGTCTTTAAGTGCCTTAATAAGACACTTTTTGCTCTAAAGATGGTCATTCCATTCCAGTCCCTGGGTCAGAAGAGATCTACAAGCATTGTCAGTAATCATAGCTCAAGATGGCATTTGGGAAAACACCCAGCACCACTGAATCTGAGATAGCATCTGCACCCTTAGGAGAGCAGAGCAGAGGTGTAGAGCCTGTGTCTGGAATAAACCATCTGTATAACATTGTACATTCTTTGCCATCCCTGCTTTTCTTTTGCCTTCCCCTCCCTGCCACTGCCAGGGTTGTGGGTACCTTTTGTGGGCATTGATCAGGAAGCAGCAGTGCATGAGCTGATCAATTGTAGTGTAAGCACCAGCCTGTCTGAAGAAGGTCAGCATGGATGAATACAAATAGTTGGGTCAGCAGAAAACCATGACCTGGACTTGGCCAGTGACACCATGTGCATCTGCTGAGGCTGTAAATGGCAGCAGAAGCCTTTGGAAGGATGATGTGGTGTGGGATAGGTTGGAGAAGCATGAAGGTGAAGAATTGTGTACAACCACCTGCTCCTTCTGAATTACTCCCACTCTGAAAACCTAGAATTCTTCCCAGGAAGAGCTTTGTTGCACTGCTCACCCTTTCCCTACTGGGACAGAAGCTCCTTAGGATTTTTAGAGGGAAGAAGTCAAAAGGAACACAGACTCCTGCAGAGACTTGGGTCTCTTTCTTCCTGACCTCTTCTGTGCTTTGAGCTGACTTCTGCACTTACAGTTGCACATCATGATCCTCTGAGGAGTCAGGATGCTGGAACAAGGCTCTCTTTGAAATGCCAAGTTACAAAAGAACATCTCCCACATAATTGTTCCCAAACTTCCTGGGTGAGTTGTGACCGCTGCAGAGGGTTTTGCTCAGCAGTCCAACAGCTGATCTCATTGCCATGAAATGCAGGCCTAGAACAGATTGTCTGTGAGCTGCACACTGAGTTACACAGGGACACTCTGGAATTAGTTTGTTATCACTGCTGTGTCCCAGCTCAGAGCATTTCTGAACTGGCAAATGGGTACAGCCAGCTCCTGCCCCCACCTTGCCGTGTGTCACCCTCTGCAGCCCTGGGTGCCATGGCAAAGCCACTCCTCTGCTGAGTGGTGACAAGAGAGAGGAGAGAGGCCAGTTTGACATGGAAACTACAAGGGCCCTGGGATTGATGATCTCTTCTAACATGAGGTGCTGGTGGCTTGGCTTCACTACGTGTTGGGAGCTGGACAGTTACTGGAGATAGCAGGAAAGTGTTTCCTCTCACTTTTTGGGAGATGTGCCTGTTTAGTAGCACATCTTGCAGCCCCCTCAGCCTTTTACCTGTTATGAGGGTTTCTGTAGAGGAGCACATCCTGCTCTGGGGAAGCTGCTGTGTAGCACCAGATCACAGAATCACAGAATCATTTAGGTTGGGAAAGAGCTGCAAGATCATCGAGTCCAACCTGTGAGTGGTCACCACCATGCCACCCAGCCTAGTCATTCTTTGAAAACCTCCAGGGATGATGACTCCATCACCTCCTGGGCAGCCCCTTCCAATGTTTGACAACCCCTTCTGTGAAGAAATTCCTCCTGGTGTCCAACCTGAGCCTCCCCTGTTGTTACAGATCCTTCTGCAGAGCCTTCCTACCATCCAGCAGATAAACACTCCCACCAAACTTTGTTGTCTGTGACCTTACTGAGGGTACATCTGATCCCCTCATCCAGATCATCAATGAAGATGCTAAACAGGACTGAATCTTGACTGAATCGACCTCAGTGCTGAAATTCAAGCTGCTCAGTGGGGTTTGCAGGCAGCTGCCAGTTTGCAGAAGTCATGGCTTGGAGTTGTCCCAGGCTGGGGCTCTGAGCACCTTCCACCTGTGCCTCGAGCACCTTCTGCCACCACACCCCCAATTTAGAGATGCCACCAAGGGCCTGGGCATGGCAGTAAATGACATTGCACTAACACAGAGTTATTCCTTGAGTGCTCCTCCTGCTAAGGGACACCGTTTGTCTGTCCTCAGTAACTTAACCTTATGCTCCCAGGGGATGAGCAGGGAGGTGATCTGCTGCCACTGGTGTGCCAGGAAGGGGCTGTTGGCACAACTCTGAGGTTGCAAAAATGGGTGGAAGTTCACCTTGGTTGAAGTTAAGCAGGACCTCAGAGAGGAGAGGAGTGTAGAAGGCTGATTGCCTCTGGATTATTTGAGCTGTATTCCCAATGTCTGGGACAAGCAGAGTACTTGTTTTTAGATGATTTTGATTTTTTGATAACCCAGCTAGCCACTTCTGTTACTCTCTGCTCAGAGCAGGCAGGATGGGCTCTACTTTTTGAGCAAGGAGAGGCTCATTCTCCCAGCTGTCCTTTGCAGTATTTGTTTGTTACCTTTTTCATGTCACTATAGGGGAGTTCTGGGTGTAACATTTGACACAGGGAGGGAGGGAAGGTGGTCCTAAACCAGTAAGGCCAGAGCAGCTGTCACTCCAGCTGTGGTGTTCTCCCCTAGGTTGACCGGGTGAGCTACCTGCTTCAGGAGATCTACGGCATCGAGAACAAAAACAACCAGGAGACCAAGGTAAAGGTGCCCAGCAGCTCCCTCAGCTGGGAGTTCCCAGCCTGCACCTTCTGCTTTTGAGCCTAACAATGGGGATTGGCAGGGCAGTGTGGAGCTGCTTCCCACAGTCCAGGCTGTGTGATTCCTGCAGGCACCCAAGAAGCCCAAGGATGACAGACCCTCCCTGGTGTCAGGCCCAAGCATTCAGTGGAGTTGTGCTGAGGTAATTTTAGGCAACATGAGGCTCTTGAGGATGTTCCCTGTGGCTGGGATTGCTAGGAGAGAAGGGGATCAATGCCCCAGGGGTGTGTCAGAGCACTGATTTTTAGGGCTTGTAGAGAGCCAGTGTTGCTGTCTCTCTGCAGTCAAGGCAGTGGTGCCTGGTGTCTGTGCTTTGTTCTTGTATCTCCTTTGTGTTCTGGCTGGGGGTTCTGCATGTTCCTTTAGTGTTTCAGAGAACTCTCTGGGGTTTGCCAGTGTCCAGAGACATTCCTCTTGCATTCCTCTTGCATTCCCCAGCAGGAGGGAGCACAGCACCCTTAAGGGATGTGAATGCAAATGCCAAAGCCAGAAACTTGAGGCAGGAGCTGCTGCTGGATCCCAGCCTGCTGCACAGCCCTGCACAGGTTGTGTGACTGATTTATTCTTCGTGGAGCCTTTGTAGAGCTGCCCTTTGCTGCCACCTGGGCTGTGGAGTGTACCCAGTGCTGGCCTTGGGATCACACAGCTCTGGGGTGTGGAGTGAGCTATTTGCACACATGGAGTAAGACATGCAGGATTTCCTCTGCAGTGTCCTGCCCAGAGCATCCTGTGGTCCTTGTCTGCCAACAGCACCTGAAGAGGCAGGAGGGAGAAGTGTTTGCTAAGATTTTTCTTGCACAGGATTGAGGGAGAGAATTAACAGGATTGAGGGCCTCTTTTTGGGTCTTGTGATGATTCTCGTGATCCAGCAATCCTGGCCCATCAGACAAGTGGCCTGGGGCCATTTTTATTCTTCCTTATTCAGCAAACCATGTGAGTGGGACAGCAAAGAGCCTGCTCTCCCTCCAAAAAAAGGCTGGGTGAGGATGTGGCAGCAGCACAAATGCTGTTGACACTGAGGTTGCCCCTGGTCTGGCACATGTTAGCCCTGGAGACCAAAGGGGCCCCAGGTGAAGGTGGAAGGTACCCCATCCTGGGCCATCGTGGTGAGCTCTGGCACAACTTCTGTGACATCAGTGGGGAGACTGTGGGGTTTTCTGGTGTCAGTCTTGTGGTTGGAGAGGGAGTTTCTCTCCCAGCTTGATCAGTGGCTGTGAGCCAATTTGTGGGGCTCTGAGAAAGATGGGTGTGAAACACGCTCATGTCGAATGGGTGCACACTGAGCCTTTTACCAGGGTAGCTGTGGGCAGCTGAGTGCCCTGTGCTGGTTCTCCTGCAGCTGCATCAAAGCTTGTGCCAGCACAGGGGATGCAGGAGAATCACTCACCTGCTCAGGGGACCTGTGGAAGCTGGGCTAGACATGGCTGGAACAACAGGCAGCACACAGCTCCTTTTGGGGCTGCTCTGTCTGTGGGGAAGAAAGGCCAGAGTTCCAAAGAGTTCACTTCCCTATTGACCCTGGAGCCACCAGGATGGGAGGCAGGAGCTTGTTCCTGGTCAGCCTCAGTCAAGGAGATCCCTGCCCCAAAATGGGCCCCCTCTGAACAGAACATGGCTGCGGGGAAGGACAACTCTGCCACGAATTCCCAGTGCCCTGAGAGGAAGGAGTGTGAGCAGGGCTGTGTGGGCGACAGTTTGCCCTCCTTGAGGAACCCCTGCTGAGAGCTGCAAAAAGAGAATTTCCAGACTTTTGGGTGGGAAATTCCCCCAGGCTCCTGTCCCTTGGCAGCTTGGCACAGCCCCCAGCACTGCCATGCCAACCCTTTGCCTCTCCTTGCAGCCTTCAGACGACGAGAACAGCGACAACAGCAACGAGTGCGTGGTGTGCCTGTCGGACCTGCGGGACACCCTGATCCTGCCCTGCCGCCACCTCTGCCTCTGCAACTCCTGCGCCGACACGCTGCGCTACCAGGCCAACAACTGCCCCATCTGCAGGCTGCGTGAGTGCCCCAAACACCAGGCCAGCAACTGCCCCATCTGCAGGGTCTGAGTGCCCCAAACACCAGGCCAGCAACTGCCCCATCTGCGGGGTCTGAGTGCCCCAGACACCAGGCCAGCAACTGCCCCATCTGCAGGCTGCGTGAGTGCCCCAGACACCAGGCCAGCAACTGCCCCATCTGAGGGGTCTGAGTGCCCCAAACACCAGGCCAACAACTGCCCCATCTGCAGGCTGCGTGAGTGCCCCAGACACCAGGCCAGCAACTGCCCCATCTGAGGGGTCTGAGTGCCCCAAACACCAGGCCAACAACTGCCCCATCTGCAGGGTCTGAGTGCCCCAAACACCAGGCCAACAACTGCCCCATCTGTGGGGTCTGAGTGCCCCAAACACCAGGCCAGCAACTGCCCCATCTGCAGGGTCTGAGTGCCCCAAACACCAGGCCAACAACTGCCCCATCTGCGGGGTCTGAGTGCCCCAAACACCAGGCCAACAACTGCCCCATCTGCGGGGTCTGAGTGCCCCAAACACCAGGCCAACAACTGCCCCATCTGCGGGGTCTGAGTGCCCCAAACACCAGGCCAACAACTGCCCCATCTGCGGGGTCTGAGTGCCCAGCCACAGGCCAACAACTGCCCCATCTGCAGGGTCTGAGTGCCCCAAACACCAGGCCAACAACTGCCCCATCTGCGGGGTCTGAGTGCCCAGCCACAGGCCAACAACTGCCCCATCTGCAGGCTCCCTGAGTGCCCTGGTGTCGTGGTTTGAACAGACAGGTGTCTGCTAAGGAAGGCAGGAGCCTCGCCTGGGCTGGAAAATGTAAACCCCCTCCCTCTGAATTGTTCTAATTTTGAATTTAAGAGGGCTCTCAGCAAAGATATGGGAGCAGGAATAACAGTTCTTTATTAGGGAAGAAAGTAAAAATAAAATAAAGATGCAATAATACAAAACAACACTGGCAGAGTCCCAATAGGAGCTGACCCCCTGTGTGTCAGGGTGGTGGCACAGCCCCATCCCATGGTGGCTCAGCCCTCCTGCAGTGCCAGCTGTGGTTCTGTCAGAGCAGTGATCCTGTAGAAGGGTGGAGTTTTCCTCTGAAGGTCCAGGGGTTGGGTAGATGGGCCTGGTCTTCCTCAGAATGCAGTGGGAAAGGGCTGCTCCTCTGGCAATGCAGGGCAGCAGAAAGCTGCTCCTCTGGGAATGCAGTGGGCAAAGGCTGCTGTGCTGTCCCAAAGCTCAGATTGGATCCAGGTAGGAATGCTTGGCTCCTCCCCTGGGCAGAGCATCTCCCCATGGGATGATGGAATTGGATCAGCCCTGCAGGGACACTCAGTGGCCATGGACAGCAGAGATCTCCTGCAGGGAGGATTGGCTGGGGGAGAGATAAAGAAAAAACTGCCCCAAGAACAGCAGAGAACTGCCCCATCAGACAGGAATAGAACACACACCCCCACTTCCAGCCTAAGACACCTGGCCCTGCCCTGGCTCCTGGGAGGATGAGCCTCTTTTCAGTACCCCACCCCAAGGCTCAGCATTGTGCTGCTGCTCTCACTGGAACCCAGAATAAATGTCCTCAGTCAGGAGAGGAGAATGGCTCTGGCCAGTGCTTCCCTGGCCACTCAGCCTCTCCCTGGGGTGGATGTGAACGTACAGGTGCTCTGGGCTGTGCCATGTCAGGAGTTTTTGTGTTTTGGTGAAGATGATGGAAAATCCCCAAAGGAAGGGCTGGAGAAGCTTTATCCTGAGGGTATCTGGCTGAGAGAGCAGCCAGCACCACTGGAGGGGTGTCCAAGTACACAGCATGATTTTTTTTAATCTTCTGGCAACCTTACCTGGATTTCACCAGGAGGCAGGGATGAGGTAACAGTCAGTTTGGAGTCTTTTGCTCTGCCAGGAATTAGGAGGATTTGCTTAACCCCTGCATTGCTCAGCTCCCAAAAGATGGAAAAACTTAAATACATGTTTTGGCACTCAGGCAGCATTTGCTGAATTCTGTGTTTTTTCTCAAAAGCACAGGAGGCCCTTGAGAATTTTGTGTTTCTGCTGGAAGGGGCAGAGTGTGTGTTTTACCCCCTGGTCTCTGAGGTATTTGATTGTTTCTAACTGACAATTCTCAGGGAAAGAAATAAAGAGCCTAAGACGGATGTTTGGCCTGAGAAATTAAGTCCAAACAGTCCAAACATGGCAAAGAGCAGTAACCAAAAGCAAGATCTCACCAGAGGAAGTGCCAGACAGCTTTGACTATAAGTAGCACATCATAAAACAGAGGAACAGCATTGTCTCATCTGCAGGCTGGAGGGGAGTAGGTTGTATTTGTTTGGAAAATGTCCCCATATCTCAGACTTCCTGGGAATCTGCTTCTGGGGAGTGCAGAGGCAGCAAGGATAGATTTGTACCTCTGTTCTCTGGCTCTAGGCTGATCTTGAAGGGGTTTGGTGCAACAAGAACTAGGAGGATGCCTGGCAGGTGCTCACAGCTGCATCAGAACAGATGTCTGGCTCGTTTGTGTGTGCCCTTGGCACAGAGGAACAAGCAATATTCAAGATCTGCAGGGAGTGGAGATCAAAGCTCTGCTGGTGTTAGGACTGAGGGGTGGCTGTGCTGGAGACAAGAGTGCAGCCACTAACCCTTCAGCTGGAGCCTTTCACCACCACAGCTGGACCCCAGGGCTGAGGTTTGTGGTGTCTGAAGGAACCCAGAGGGGATTTAATGAGTTCCCCACCCAACCTGTAGCATGCAGTGCACTCCTGAGGGCAAGCTCATGGTTTTCTTACTGTGTTGTTGTGACCTACCCTTAAGGAGAACTTCTCTGGGCCTCTGCACTTGCAGAGTAGCTGAAGCACCCTGTCCATGACTGTACTGGGGCAGGCAGTGCCTGTTCTCCACAAGGGCTCTGTGCATCCAGACTTTCAGCCAGCAGATCCTTCCCTGTGTAGATCAATGGGAGCCTGACCCCATCACTTGGCTTTGGGGCGCTCCATGGCCCCACTCCCCACACTCAGGGGAGCTCCTTCATGCCCACAGTGTGTCTGTGGCAGGGCAGGAGCCCTGGCCTGGCCTGGCCCTGCTGGGCTGTGCAGTCACCACCTCCTGTTCTCTCCTAGCCTTCCGTGCCCTGCTGCAGATCCGGGCGGTGAGGAAGAAGCCGGGGGCTCTGTCACCAGTGTCCTTCAGCCCTGTCCTGGCACAGAGTGTGGACCATGATGAGCACTCTGTAAGTACCTCTGACCCCTGTACAAAGCCTGCCTGCTGCTCTCAGCCTCAGCAAGCAGCTGCTGGCTGCATGAGTTGCTTGGGCTGATGGCTGGGACCTCAGGAGGTTTGGTCACACCTTTCACTGAGGGCTTCCCAAGCAGTGCTGCCTTTTCTTATCAACACAACTGGATTAGAGGAAACAAACCCACAGAAATCTCAGGTTTCTTGTTGCCTGGCCCAACAGAAAAGTGGCAAACTCTGGGCATGACAGGGTGGGAGCTGTGAAAACAGGGCAGAGGGGTTCCAGTTTGACTTGCACACACATCTCTGTGGCAGCACACAGATAAAATACACTTGGCACTGGGGTTCCCAGCATGGAAGTAGAAAGGCCTCCTTGTGGCAGCTTCCCTGGGTGTCTTGGCATGCATCTGAGGGAGTGTGGGATGGGAAGTGTTGTGCTGGTGGCCTCAGGGCCCAGTTGCATGTCCCAGTGTGGGAAGGGCAGCTGCTCTCTGCCTGACCAGTGCTGTTGCACATCTGGCTCTGGTGAGACACCAAGATTAGAATGAAGAGAAGGACAAGTGCATCTAGATCATCCTACAGGCTTGCATGGGAACAGATACTGTCACAGAAAAAGGTTGGGTTTATCCATCTGCCCTCTGCTGCCTCCAGCTGGGGCTGAGGAATAGGGGGGTGAAGGCCTGAGGGTTGTGAAGCAGAGCGTGGTGTGTGGAGGACACGGGTGCTGTCACCTGCAGCGAGGTGAGGAGATGCTGTGTGTCTCTTCCTGTCACTTAACCTCAAGAAACAACTTCTTTAAAACATGGTTTTCTCTTGACAGCACCCCTTTAAACCCCTTAAGGTGAGCTCTGTCTCCCTGCCCAGCAGGAAGCCTAGGAGGGAAGTAAGAACAGTAAGTGGACTTGGCTGGTTGCACTTGGCAGCTCTGTGCCAGCAGTGTCACCTGCACGTGGCAGTGTCACCACGAGGGCTTGCTGACACACTGGGTTTGGCCTGTGCCCCTGCCAGGCTGTGACACTCCACGTCCCTCACATTGGCAGTGAGATGCTCACACCCTGCACAGATGATCACTGACATCCCTGGTTTGCCTGTGGAGGAACGAGCCAGAAGGAAGCAGCTTGGCACAGGGCTCTGATGCTGACTCTCAGGGACTGTCCCCTGGCTGATTTATGGTTCCTGGCCAAGATGTTTTCATGGCTTCATAGGACTGTGGGCAAGCTGCAGTCCCCACAGCTCACCCAAAAGCTTCCTTGCACTTACCTCATCCCCTTGGCAGTTTGGTGTGGGCACATCTTGGTGTGGTTTGTGGTGCTGGCATGTAGAGGTGCAGCTGGAGCTGGTCTTGCATTCAGGCTGGTTTGCTTTTACAGGAACAGGAAGGATGGAGCTTGTCTTGGCTGGGGAGCCTCTGAGTGGGTTTGGCAGTGTGTAACTGGAGTGCTGTGCTGGGGACAGCATGAATGGCAATTGTGGGGCTCCAGGAGCTGGGAAGGGGAAACCTGAGGGAGCCCCCAGGCCAGGCAGGCTGTTTGTGCCCTCTTTGTTTACTCCCATCAAATGCAGCCATGGCTGTCATCTCTATCAAGGACGTTGCAGTTTTCTTTTGCTCAAGCCAGCTCAGATGCTCAGCCTTGTAGGAACATGACTTGCTGGGCTTGAGGGTCTGCAGAAAACCTGGTGCTGGTTCAGGTTTGAACCCATTCTGGCTTGACCTGGCTCTCTGCAAGGCTCCCACAGGCACTGGCAGTGTTCCTGGGGGTGTGGTGTGAGTGTCCCTCAAGGGAGTGGTGTCCCAGTGAGGGTGTCCTAGCCATTGGTGGGAAATCCTCCTCCAGCCTCTGAGCTGTGCTGTGCAACCTGAACTTTTACCACAGCAACAGGCAGCCTTTGAGCCCTCAGGGCCTGCTCTGCACAGCCAGGAGAAAAAGCCCCAAACAGGAATCCAGGGGGGTTTGTCTCCCTGACTTTTCTCTACACAGAATAGCACAGCTGGGCTGCTGTCTGCAGATGAAAAGTTTTTGGAGATGGCTTTTGGCCCCACCACCTACAGCTGGCAGCAGCTGGGAACCCATTCCTTGTTTAGCTGAGCTGTTTATCTTCAAAGCTCATAACCCTCACAGAACCAGTCCTGGGATGTGGGTTGGGGATTGACCCCACTCATTCTTCCCTCCCCATCAGACCCAACTCCTCCTGTGAGCACAGGTGAGTCAGTTCAGCTCTCAGCTCTCACCAAACAGGGGCTGTGTTGGACCAGGCTGCTGGGCAGGTTCAGCTGCACATGTGACTGGGACATGGGACACACAAGCTGTGGAGGTTCATGGCCAGCCTTAGCAGCATGGTGCCATCCTCTGTACAACTTAGAACCACCTCCTTGAGGACACAGGGCTGAAACATCTCAATTTAATGTAGCCTCAACTGTGGGAGTGTCACCTCTTGATTTGCATCAGACTGGGCTGAGCTGCCTGTGGCCTCCTGGGCTGCAGCATAAACCCCATTTTTCTCTGGGTCCACAGGGTCTTTATGATCAGGAGGATTTTTGGAGTTAAACCTGTGTTGATTTGCAAGGGTCCCTTTGAGAGGCAGCTTTGTGATTAACAGAGGGAATGGGAATTGGTGTGGTTTTCCTTCCTCCTTACAAGGTCAGTGGTTCTGTGATCCCTTTCCTGCCTTTTAGCAGAGGTGAATGTGCATGGAGCCAGTGTTAGCAGCTGAGAGCACATGGGGTAGGCTTCAAGAACCATCTCTCAGCTGGTGCACACATGCTCCCCTCCTTCAGCTCTGCCTTGGTGACACTGGTGGTGCTGTGAAACAGCTGCATGTTCCATGGCTGGGAGCACAAGTGGGATGTTCATTGAGCTGGAAAGGTCTCTGAACCACTGGAGGAGCTTTCGGGGAAAAAAAAAATCCAAACATATTTTATAGAAGCTTTTTAGGAGCCTGCTGCCTCACCCTCCTTGCCCAGCTCTTGAAAGCACATCAGGGGGATGCCCAATCTCTCAAGCACTGCTCTGGGAACTTGCCTGGAGCATCAGCAGCATTCCCTGAGGGGATTTTGTGGCTGTCCAGGGAAGGAGCCGAGGTGGCTGTGGGGATGGGCTGCCTGGGGGGCAGGGGGCTTTCCATCCTGGTGGTATTTCCCTAACATCTCCCCTGTTTCTCACGTGCAGAGCTCTGACAACATCCCTGCAGGCTACGAGCCCATCTCACTGCTGGAGGCACTGAACGGGCTGCGCTCGGTGTCGCCCTCGCTGCCCTCGGCCCCTCTCTACGACGAGATCTCCTACTCAGGGGTGGTGGATGGGATGGCCCCTGCCAGCCGCCCCCTCGGGGCCATGGACAGAGCCCTGGAGGGTGCCCACCAAAAGGGCAAGCGCAGCAAGTCTCCAGACAGGTCAGCAGGGCACGGGGTCACTCCTCTTGCAGGCCCTGAGGTTTGGTGGCCACACGCGCTGGGAGCCAGGAGAGGGCTCTGGCTGGTCCTGTCACTGCTAGCACAGCTAACTCAGAGTTTTAGGAGGACAGCAGGTACTCGTGCCAGGGAGGGAATGGGGACATTGTCCCTGTGTTCAGCCTGAGGTTACAGCTCGTGTGTCCTGAGGGCTGGCTCTGTCACCGAAAGAAAGAGGATTTTTAACAAGGAGAATTTAATCATAGAATCACAAAATGGTTTGCATTGGGAAGGGCCATAAAGCTCATCTCATTGCATCTCCCCACTGTGGACAGACAACTTCCACTATCCCAGGCTCCAAGCTCTCTCCAGCTTGGCCTTGGACACTTCCAGGGATGGAGCAGCCACAGCTTCTCTGGGCAATCTGTGCCAGGGCCTCACCACCCCCAGAGTAAAGACTTCAGATGGAAATGTCTCCTTTCCAATGCACTTAGTCCTAGAATTTACATTTGATGTCCAAACCTCATTGGATTTCAGCTTTCCATGGGGCTCCTCAGGAGCAAAGGAATGGGGGGTGACCTGGATTTCAGAGCACAAAGTGCTGAATGGAGATCCTGTAGTTCTTGTCTGAAGGCTCCTGTTGGCCCTGTGATGGAGGGGTTAGGTGAGGATATGGGGCTGCTCAGATCAGACTGGGTTTGCTCCTGGCACTCCTCACTGTGCTCCAGCCCAGATTTTCACCTGGGAAGGGGGCCCTGAAAGTGTGAGAAGCAGTGTGGGACCTGGGCTCTTGTTGCTGTGCTGGAGTTTGGCACTCTTGGCTCTGTCCCACCCTGCTGCTGCTGTTCTCTGTGTGGCCAGTACTGGAGGCCCTGGTGAATTCAGCTCCCCAGTCTGAGCTCCTGCTCATGAGAGTTGGCTTGTGCTGCCCCCATGTCCTCCAGGCCCCAGGGTGCTGGGAACTCCCTGCAAATGGAGTTTCTCTTGCTGCAGCACACTACGGTCTCCCTCATCCCCAATCCACGAGGAGGATGAGGAGAAGCTCTCTGAGGACTCCGACTCGCAGGCGGTGCTGAGCGGGGGTGAACTGGTCCTGAGGGAGACCAGCTCTCCAGAGGTAAGATGTGCTCTGCTGGGGGGGCTTCTGAGCCCCAGCTCTTCTGGGGGGCTTCTGGGACATGGAAGTGCCTCCTGAAGAACCATTGCCCCGAGCCAAGAGTATTGGCTGCTTTGTTTACCCCTAAGGCTCCATGGGGAAGGATGTAGCCACTCCCTGTGCTCCTGACACCTCCTGGGGAGTGGAAAACCACTCAGCTGGAGCCATGGCAGAGCTCACCATCCCCAGCATCCTGGGCAAGCCCAGCAGTGTTTGGGGCAGGGTGGGAGCTGGGCATTAGGAGCTTCCAGTGCCCACTGCTGGTAAGACCCCTCCATCCCAGCCTGTGGTGCTACAGCCCTGGGGCAGCCCCCTGCTCCTGCTGTGGAACCAGCCCTGGCCCCGAGCACAGCTCCCTGGAGGAAGCCAGAGCAGGAGAATGGCACAGCAAAGGCTCCAGCTGCAGAAATAACCTGTGCTGTCCCTCCTTACAGAGCGTGGCAGGAGAAGAGATGGAGGAGGCCTCATCGGTGCAGCAGGGTAGGTGTGGGTGCAGCCAGACCTCAGCTCGGTGCTGTTGTGGTGGGACAGGGACAACTGGGGAGTGAACAAATGAGTTCAGAAACATCCAGCCCCCTAAGTCCATCTCTGAGGCTCTGTTCTTCACCAGGGAAGGGTGCCAGGGTCTTTTCTTGGAGGTGAGGGAGTGAAATCCAGAGGTCTCCCTGGTTTATTTGCCAAGCATCCCACCTTGCTCTGAGCTTTACTCGAGTAGAGCTTTCCATGCTATGAGCTCTCCTTGCACTGTGGAGAACACCACTGGGGTCCTGGGGACAGCACATCCACGGTACTGGGCACACAGGATGGGTCTCTGGTGCTCAGTCAGCACCCAGACAGGAGTGGTGGGCACGGTTTGGGCCATGAGGCTGCACGTGAGGAGGTGGCCCTGTGGCACTGTGACCCGGGCCAATGTCACCAGCACTCCTGGCACATCAGTGGGGCTGGGGCGGGCCTGGGGAGCTTCCTCACATCAAGATCTGGACCCACCCTGGCTGTGAGCGCCCTGACCCGTGCTGGGGGCTGAGGGGCCGCGCTCTGGGCTGGTTCCAGGTAGCCGCCCGCCCTCGGTGGAAGATGTGCTGCAGGACGGCGGCTGCGAGAGCCGGAGCCTGACGCGCTCCGAGAGCGACGCCCCGGTCGATGTCTTCCTGCCAGGTAACGGCCGCGCCGTTGGGGCCGGGGCTGCCCCCAGGGCCGGGGGTCTGTGCAGCTGTGTCCCACAGGCCTGGCACGGGACTGGAATGGGTCTGGAATGCTCCTGCACCAACAGTGGGCTGGGTGGGTGGTGGGCAAGGGGGGCTTACACAGAGGTGACTTGGCCCCCTTCTCTCTCCTCCTCCTCCCTCACCCTCGTGTCTCTGTCCTTCCCCTCCTTTCTTCTCTTTGGGCCACAGCTGCTCCCAGCATAGCTCTGTGTGACAAAGGCCTCCTGTGTGCTCCCGAGTGTGCTCCTGCTTTGGGGTGAGGGAGGGGAGCAGTCTGGGCCAGCAGCTGGGGGCTGGGGCAGTGTTGTCACGGCAGGGAGGGTCCCAGGGTGCCGTGGGACCCTGCACTGGCCTCACCTCTGACTGTTGTCGTTGCAGCCTGTTTTCTTCCGTAGAGTCGCAGTCTGTTCTGAGTTACCTCTCTAATGTCTCCTTCCCTCTCTGTCTGCCTTCCTCCCTCCTGTCTTGGGCAGCACTTGGTCCTGATTCCTGCTCTGTTGGTATAGAGGAGTAAGCTGGTACGTCTTCTCGTTCTTCTTATGCATCCCTGTTGTGTGGGGCAACAGGGCCCTCCTGGGAGTGCTGGCAGAGAGCAGGGACGGGGCTGGTTCTGGCCATCGGGGCAGGGAAGGAGGGGCAGCAAACCAGCCAGGCTGCACTGCTGCCTCTGCCCTCGCTACCTTCCCATTCCTGGCACAGCATTCCTGCTGCCCCTGAGTGCCAGGACACCAGGCTGGGCAGCAGAAACCTCTCCCCACTGCTGAGCGAGGGCCCTGCTGCCTCCTGTGCACCACCAACATCCAGGCCCTGCTGGCTTCTCCCAGGCTGTGGCAGTGTCCCCCCTCAGTGTCCTGTCAGCCTGCACTGTCACTGTCACACAGCCTGTCCACTCAGCCTGCACCTGAGGGGATGAGCGGTTGGCTCCAGCCCTATCTCCTGTGCTCAGTGTAGGGTGGGAGGGATGCTGAGCCCCGACAGGGCTCCCATTGCTGGGACTGAACTCCCTGTCCTCACCCAGGCTCGTCCGACTTCACCAAGACGCTCCCCGTCCGCGGCACCGGCAGCCCCACGCAGCCCCTTCTCTTCGAGCAGACCCGTCTGCACCTGGAGGACGAGCAGAGCCTTTCGTGAGCGGGGCCGGGCCCTGCCCGTGCCGCCGGGCCCGCCGGGCTCTCCGGGACGCAGCGCGGGGTGTCTGTGGCACGGACACGGTTTCGGCACAGCCTGTGCATGTTTCCTGGCGGTGGGTAGGGGCTGGTGTCGTGTTTGTCCGTGGGAGGTGTCTGTGGGGCCGGGGCGGGGTTTTTGGTCCGAGTCGGCTGATGAAGGACACTACGATGTATATTTTGTACTTACCGAGCACAGCCCTTTGCTGTCACTGCCCTGTACATAGCTGTGGCCCTCCCTGCCTTGCCGGGCCGCAGGGCTCCGCGGCAGCGGGGGAATGCGGGGGTCAGCCAAGGCCCGGCCCGAGGCAGTCACGGGGGGGACCGGGGGGTCCTGCCCCGCCCCGGCCCGTTCGGGGTGACCCCCACGCCCCCCGTTCCCGCAGAGCCCGGCGCTGCCCACGCCGTGTGCCTTGTTCTGCTTCTGCGGGGGGTCCCGGGGCACGTCCCCCCCCCCCTCCCCGTCTATGTTTGTAGTAATAAACCCGTGGAGCAGCCACGCGAGTCCGTGTGCACCGGGGGCACCGGGGGGGAGCGGGGGGAGAAGCGCGGCTCCGGCCGGGGGGCGGGGCTGAGGGGCGGGGCTAATGGGCAGGGGGCGGGAATTGGGGCGGGGCCAAGGCGGGGGGAGGTCTCGTTCGTTCCCGCCCCCGCCTCCTTCCCGGCATGCCCTTCGGCGCCCCTCCTTCCCCCCGCGCTTCGCTGCGATTGGCCGCGCGCGCCACCGGCCCCCGCGCGCGGCGCTGCCCTAATAAGGCGAGCGGCGCGCGCAGCCCGCCCGCCCCTCATTGACGGCCCGCCGCCTGCCCCGCCTCTGGCGCGCGCGGCGATTGGCAGGAGCCGCCGAGAGCCCATTGGCCCTGCGGCGCGCGGCGCGCTCCCATTGGCCGAAGCGAGCGGCGGTCCCGCCCCCGCGGCGTCGTGGGCGCGGCGCGTGCGCGGAGCGGGCGGCGGTGGCGCGAGGCGATGGCGGCCGTGGGGACGATGGCGGCCATGGGCCCGCTGCCCGCCATGGGCGCGCTGCCGCCCCTGCCCACTCTCGGCGTGCCCGGCGTGCCCGAGCTGAAACCGCTGACGCGCTACGAGGCGATGCGGCTCGGCCCGGGCTGGAGCCACTCCTGCCACGCCATGCTATACGCGCCCAACCCGGGCATGCTGTTCGGCCGCATCCCGCTGCGCTACGCCGTGCTGGTGAGGGGGGGGGCGAGGCCGGGCCGGGGCCGGGAGCAGGGCGGCCGCGGGCGGGCCCTCGGGCTGGGTCGGGGCCCACGGGGCTGGGTCGGGCCGCGGGCTCCGGGGGCGGCGGGCTGAGGGGCGGTGGCTCCGCGGTAGTTCCCGTTCAGGGCGGTAGAATCAGGCTGGGCCCGAGGGCTTGTGCGGCCGGGGCGCGGAGCCCCGACGGCCGGGCCGCTGTCGGTGAATGGTCCTGGATGCGCCGGAGCCGGTAGTGCCGCGACGGAGCGGCCGCGACGCCTCCCGCGCTCCTCCGAAGGCCTCCGTGACGCCCCCTCGCCCCCCGCCGGGGGCCGCGCCGTGCCCCATTAACACCCTGCGCCTCTATTGCAGATGCAGATGCGATTTGACGGACTGCTGGGCTTTCCCGGGGGGTTCGTGGATCGCCGTTACTGGTCCCTGGAGGACGGTCTGAATCGGGTGCTGGGCTTGGGTTTAGGCTGTGTGCGCCTGACGGAAGCTGACTATCTGTGCTCGCACCTGACAGAGGGGCCACATCGCGTGGTGGCACACTTCTACGCCAGGCAGCTCACCCTGGAGGAGCTGCACACCATCGAGATCAGCGCGGTGCATTCCCGAGACCACGGGATGGAGGTGGGACACCCGGGAGGGGTGTGCGAGCTCTCACTTAGCCCAGGGAAGGCGCCGCTTCCCTCCTGGGTCTGCCGGGCTGCCCTTGCCAGCCCGGCCGGGGAATGCACCGCAGGTAGAGCTGCCGGGGCAGGTGCCCGCACCGCCCGTGGCATCGGCGTTAGGGACCGTGGCCGGGGTCGTGCCGCAGGCTCCAGAGCGTAGCGAGCTTGAGCTCCAGCTTTTCCCGGTGTCCACCCACGCAGGGATGAGCCCCGTGTTACCGCTCGGCCTCAGGATGTGGGCGAGGGCCGTTTGCAGCTGGGGGGATCTCCCCCTGCCCCGGGCTGAGTGCCCCGGACTGGACCGTGACCTCGGTTGGTGATGTCGCTGTGACCCGAGTTCCTCCCCTGCGGGGGGGCGCCTTCCTGCTCGCGGCAGCCAGGTCCGGCTGGTGGCCGGGGCAGAGCGGGAGAGCCAGGGCCTCCCCCCGCGCCCCCGGGGCGCTCGGTGGGTGTCGGCAGCCGTGCGAGCTGCAGAGGCAGCGGGCTCGGGGTTGTGGCCTGGTAGAGGGGGACTCGTGGGTCAGCCGTGGTGTCCCCACGCAGGGCACGGCTGGAGGGGCAAGTGGGACTCCCCATAGTGGCCTGGGGCAGCGGGATCCCTCCAAAGGGGCAGCAGGGGGAGCAGAGCCAGGGCTGGGCTGAGGGGCTGGGCAGGGAGAGCAGGGCCCTGGGGGTTTGGGAAGGGGCAGTGAAGGGGCTCGGGGGGGCTGAGGGCAGCAAGGGCAGGGGCTGGTGTGGAGGGAGGGGCAGGACCTGGCGCAGGGGCAGGGTGAGCCTGGGCCGAGGGCTGGCGGGCACTGGGTGCGGGTGTGGGGCAGAGGGGGTGCGGGGCAGGGGGGGCTGGTGCTGCTGTGTCCCTGCTGAGCTGTGCCCGTGCTGTTGCAGGTGATGGGCATGGTCCGTGTGCCCCTCTACACCCAGAAGGATCGCATGGGCGGGCTGCCCAACTTCCTGGCCAACTCCTTCGTAGGAACGGCCAAGTTCCAGCTCCTGTTTGCCCTGAAGATCCTGAACATGGTGCCGGAGGAGAAGCTGGCCGAGGCCGTGGCTGCCACGCAGAGGCCGAAGAAGGGGGCCCTCGACCACACCGGAGGGGCAGCAGGACACCACCACAAGGCGGGCAACGAGCTGGCTCGAGCGGGCAATGAGCTGGGAGAGAGGGCAGAGCACCCGGGCATGCTGCACGGGGGGGCTGAGCAGCACCTGGTGGGGCTGGAGGGCGAGGCTGAGGCGCTGGAGCAGCAGGTGGGGCTGGGTGACGAGCAGGGCGAGGGGATGGAGTGACGGCGCCATGGTGGTGCTCCATTAAAAGTGGGTGAGCTGAGAGACTTCTAACTTTGCGACCCGTGGCTGGCTGCAGTGGCTGCCCACGAGATCCCACTGCCCAGCCGGGAGGGGTTGGGTTTGTCTAAAGCAGGGAAAAGCGATTTTATTTTTATGGCCATTAAACTCTTAGCGAGCTTCCCAGATCAACCTGCACAGCCCCTGCAGAGAGTTCATGTGCTTACGTGAGGGCGCCAGAGCCTTAGAATAACGCTTTGATTTCAGGGACACACTGCTGCTGTCAGGTCCCCCTTTCATTTGTAAGGAACAAAACATCCAGTTTTTTAAATGCCCCGTCTTGACTTGGACGTGGCTGTGTTGACACTGGGCACAGCTGAGGCCTGGGGCTTCTGGTCAAGCACCTCTGCCCATGTTAGTGGCCAGGGTGCTGGCACAATGGGGCAGCCGTGCCATGAATTCCCTCTGGGGCGTTGGGGATGCTCATATGGGTCCCTACCTGGAGATCTGTGGGAGCAGGAAAGTGGAATAAATGGCTTTGCTGAAAGTTTAACACTTGGGATCATTCTTGAGGGCTGGTGCAGAGCTGGGCAGGGTGTGGGGGAGCACAGAGGGCAGAAATGGGGGGCTGGAGCTGGGGCTGGCAGGGGAGGTGTGGGCTGGCTCAGGTACTGCACCACTACAGCCCTTGAGAGTTTGGGGTGCTGCAGAAGGGCTTGTGCTCCCCAGGGCTCCAGGCAGGGGCTGGAGCAGCCTGTCCCAGGTGCAGGAGCACCTGCCCAGCACAGGCTGTGCCTGAGGGGCCTCAGGCCTGGCTGAAGTGGGCACAGCCAGCGAGGAGCCCAGCACTGCAGCTGCAGCTGCACAGGGCTACAAGGAAAACCCACCCATCCTGCAGTCCTGTTGGAAGGGCAGGCTCAGCCCTGGTGGAGCTGCTTCCCCTTCCCTGTCCCCCCTCTCCCTGGCTTGGAGCAGCAGCTCCCCCAGGATGCTCCCAGCCCCACAGAAAAGGGTCTGTGCGCACCCTGCTGTGGGGCAGAGCACAAGCAGCTCTGAGGTGGAGGCTCTGCAAGGACAGACAACTCAAAAAAGAGGTTTGGTTTAATTGAAGATGTTTAGAGAGAGGTTCTTCAATAAATAACGGACTAAGGTGGGGACAGGGCTGACACCTCAGGACAGGGTGGTAGGAGGACACACAGACCAGTCACAGCTCCCTTGGGACGTGCTCAAGTAGTGGAGTTGGGTTGTGTAAGGGGCAGGGGAGAAACTGGGGACACAGACACACATCAGCCCCAGGCAGTCAGGAGAGAAGAGCTTCATTCTAGTCCAGAGAAAGCAAGAGCTGAGAAAAAAATGGACTTGGGCTGCTAAAGAAACTCAACCAACAGATGTGATAAGTAATAGTGGATAAGCAAAAATACCCCAAACTGGTAACAAGTGAGGCTGGAAGGGTGTCAGGGGCCCTGAGGAGGCACTGGGGCTGGGGAGGAGCTGCCTGCCCAGTGCCACTGGCACTGCTGAACTAGAGGGGAGCCAGAGAAGACGTGGGATGGGAGAGGCCTACGAAGGCAGCAGCCCTGGCACCTTGGCTCTTGAAGGTCTCACAGGCTGGGCTTTCCATCACTGCCCTGTTTGACTCCTCATAAACACCCCTTTACCTTGTCTTTGAGCCCCAGGAGGACCAGCACCTCCCAGAAGAGCCTGGTGCTGCTCCCAGACACCCAACGTGCCAGCCCCTGAGGCTGCCTGCTCTCCAGCCTGGCACCACTCACAGCAGCTCCTGCATCCTTTTTATTAATAAGCTCCCACCCCGGAGCTGGTCACTGACAGGGCTTTCTGTGCCCATCCAGCCAGGCTGCAAGGTGCTTGTTGGCTTTTCTAAGGCCCAGCCTGAGCCATGTGTGACCCCCAGGGCCTGCCCAGCCCCTGCCACAGCTGGCAGTGCCAGCCCATCCAGGCCCTGCACTGGCATGGATCCCTCTGCTCCAGTCCCAGTTAAAAAATGAGGTTGGAATAATGAACATGGTGCTGAGCAGAGGAAGAGCCTTGGCCAGGGAAGGGGGATTTGCCATGGGAATATAGCAGGGCCCCTGGCCTGGCTGCACATGAGCCACTCAGTTCAGCCAGAGGCTCCTGGACAGGACAGGGAGAGACTGAGAGCCTGCCAAGCACAGCCCAGAGCACAGCCCAAGGCAGGACACTGAGCAGCTGGGGCACCTTCCTCAGCAAGGGAAAGCTGCTGTGAGCTCTGCACACATCCCATCCCATCCCATCCCATCCCATCCCATCCCATCCCATCCCATCCCATCCCATCCCTCCAGATCCTGCAAAGTCCAGCCTGGTGCCAAGGAAGGGGAGAAGGGCTCTGGACCAGACTCTACACTCCCAGCTCCCCTCCCCTGCTACATTCCATCCTGGACAAAGGCAGAAAGATCTATACAGTATAATACATATATATTTCACTATGAAATAGCAATTTCATTCCCTGCCTTCTACTTTATGCATCCTGAATTATATGCTTCTTTTTACATCACTCCAGAGGGCTGGTGGGGCTGGGTGGGTTCTCATGCGAGGCAGTTGCTCTCCCTGGAAGTTACCACAGGACGCACCAGCAGCTGATGTGGCAGGACCTAAACATGATTCCCATCCCTCCCTTTCCCCTGGCCCAGATGCCCCCTTCCCCAGCAGCAGGGGCAGCCTCTACCCTGGCAGCCAGGGCTCTCCCAGTCCATTTAAGTGGTTCCTCAGTGCAGATCCATGAACCCCCCTCAGCTGCTCTCAGCAGCTGTGGATGGAGCGGGAGCAGCAGCTGAGCCCCCGACATCGCGGGTATGGGAGGAGCAGACCGAGGCGAGGGGAGAGGCGGGGACAGTGCAGCATGCACACCGAGTGGTGACACCCGGGCACACCGAGTGAGTGGTGACACCCGGGCACACCGAGTGGTGACACCGGGGCACACCGAGTGAGTGGTGACACCCAGGGCACACCGAGTGAGTGGTGACACCCAGGGCCCACCCCGCCCACGGGGGGAGCCGGGGCTGCAGCCCCAGGGTGAAGTTCTACCAAAGGTCAGGCCCTGAGGAACAGGGAGTCCCATCCGGGGGTTGGGTCACCGGCCAAGAGCTGTCATCACTGGAACCAGTGCAGAGCCGGGTGTCAGGTGGAAGGAGAAACAATCCTGTGGAAAGAAAAGAGGGCAGATGTTTTAGGGAAACACTTAGGGAAGGTGTGCAGGGGAGCCACGGTCCTGGACACTTGCAATGGCACTGGCAGCACTGGGGCTTCCAGTGCTGGGATTCTGTGGGACCTGCACGCTGCTCCAGCAGCTGGGAAGAGGAAAGGGACAGCAGGTTCCACCTGCTGCTGGGTTTGGGCTCCAGTAAACAAGGTCAGGATTTTATATCCCTTTAAATGAAACCTGCAGGAGTTCAGCTGCTGGCTGAGCTGGAGCACAGCCATGCCCAGACCCCTTGCACAGCAGCAGATGAGCTCACCCCAGGACCTGTCACAGCACAGTGGCCGTGGCAGGGACGGGAGCTGTCCCCAGCACCCACCTGCGCTTCCCGTGCGCCCCCCGTCCGTCACATGGTCCGGCTGTACTCGATGCTGCTCTTGGCAGAAATGCCAGACCAGGGCAGGAGGCTGCAGAGGAGGCTCTGGGCTTGTCTGTATATCCTCTGGGGGATGGAGCAGGGGCTCAGGCTGGCCAGTGTGGAGCCAATGTGCTGTAGGTAGTCAGTGGCCACCAGTTAAGGACAGCAACACCTACACTGTAACTTAGCAAAGAACATAAAGCACTCCTGGAGCTGCCCTGCCTGCAGGGACCCCAACACAGTGGAAGCTGCTCAGCTCAGTCAGGTCTGCTCCTTGCAATCACTGCTTCCATCTTTCTATCAAAAGCAGCTCTGCTCTGCCCTGTACAGGATGGCACTTTGAGAATGGCAGCTCCAGCTTGTGTAGGAAATACCTCCTCTAAGCAGTTCCCTTAGCACTCCACAGAAGATCCTGTGAGGAGAGCAATCCATCCCCTGCCCAGGGAGGTTGGAACTGACCAGCTACACCCAGGAAGGATCAAGTTTCTTCTCCATGATCCGTTGACCTGAAACAAATCCCCTAAGTCAGTGTGGGAGCAGCCTGCTGAGATCCAGGCCAGCCCAGGCTCACAGGGGATCCCAGGTCACAGGAAGAAAGACCAAGGGTTTCTCTGCCCTGTTCATGGCTAAATCCTGCACCCTACAAGCCAAAGCACACCCAAAACTTTGGCCTAACACCAGCACTCGCTCTCACTGGCATTCAATTTACTCCAACCATCCTACATCAAATAACTCTGACATCTCCTTCCTTCCAGCTTCAGATTAAAACCCACATCTGAGCAGGTTTCAGTTCCCACATCTACCCACACTCTGCTGTTAACCCAAAGCAGGGTCTGGCCTCTCTCAGCAGCCTGCAGGGAAAGGATATAAGATTGTCCAGGGTGGGTGCCCGCCGTTGATGTACAGGACGTAGGTGAAGCCATCTTTGAGGACCCCTCGGATGGAATAGTAATAGGGCAGGTAGTGGTGCTGTTTAAAGTCTCTGTTCTCATAGAAGTTTATTGCTGTGTTGTTGGTGGTGAGCACGTGCAGGTAGATGGCTTTGCAGTGGTCCTGGGCAGTGGTGGAGATGTGATCTTTCAAACTCTCAAGCAAGAGGGAACCTGTTGAAGGGAAGGCAGCAGGATCACACTGGGTGTGGGGCCCTCCTGCACCAGGGATTGCTAATCAGGGATTGCTGCACACACCTGGAGACCCCAAACCCCACCCAGTTCTCACAGGACCTTCTACGTGGTTTTCTTACATGGTCTCACCTATGAGCATGGCTTCAAAACCCTGAGGTTTTAAAGACACAAACCTCTGACTCAATAACCACAAGGATGAGGCAGAACTTTGTCAATACTGCTCATCCCCAGCAGATAACTGGCTTTGGGGAAGCTCAGTGACTCATTCTCAATGGTATCAGTTGCACCCCATACATGTATTTATTTTAAAGCCATTTGATACAGCAGAATGTCAAAACAGGACTTCACAAGCAGGTTATTGTCTTGTGTCTGCTGAGCTTGAATCAAAATCTAAAGAACTGCTGGGATTTTTTAAGATACCTCCTAAGGAGGAGTGGAGACAGCCTCATCCAACCTGGATTTGCTGCAGCCAGCAGGAAAAACCAGAGAAGGGTACAGAGGATACTCCAGGCCCAAGAGACAAAACCTGGGGTTCATCCACACCACCTCACCATGAAGGACCCAGCAGAACCTGCATGGGAGCTTCTTCCAGCAGTGTGGTAACACCAGGCTAAAGCATCAGCCTGATTAACACCCAGGGGAGATGGCTGCTGCTGTTTCACAAACCCCAGGGCCTGCAGGACTCCCTGGAGGACCCACAGGATTTCAGAGCAGAAGTCAACAGCGCTGACTTCACGTTCTCTTGATACTTAGTGAGAATCAGTATCAGCCAAGACCAAAAAACCACTGAGACATCAACAACAGAGCAGTTCTATTTTGTTATGAGATATTTCAATCTTCTACCTCAGAGAAATCCAGCTGTCCTGTGGTTTGAGAACAGCAGAGAACTGAAAACCAAACCCTTTTACAAAAATCAGAGCTTTAGTGCTCGGAAGCATGGCTGGAGTGAAGAGCCTCCTAAATGAAAGGCTACAGCTTCAAACACCACTAGGAAAACTCAAGAGAAAAGTCTCAGAAAAAGCAGCAGCAGCTTTTTATAGGTTGTGTTGCTACAGGTGCAAGCTCAAAGTTTTTGAGAGAGCACAGCAACATGCTGTGCAGATGGAATGGATACAGGAAATACTGACTTTGAAAGGGGAAAATTCCAGCAAGATAGAACTGGGGGGGGAAAATAGGATTTGAAAATTAGGAGGAGACTGGAAACCACCATAATTTTACAGAAGGACCTCTTTACCAGCTTCTGTGACCATTCTGTGCTACCACTTTTTTCTTTGTACTGGAAAATCCCCTCCAGTGGCATTTTAATGCTCTCACCAATGACTCTGTGGTAATTTCTTTATGTATCCTTGAAGTTTGTACCTCTCTAAACATGCCTGGGGGAGAAGGGAGGACTTGGAGGTGCTGAGTTATACCCATATCCTCTGCCAAACCTGGCCCATTCCCTTCTGCAGATCAGAGATCCACATCCTGCCTGAAATGGCACCACAAGGGCAGCACCTGGTGACAGAACACAACTGCTCTAAACAGAGGAAAACCTTTCTGACTCCAGGATTTCAAATGGCTGCAGGAAAGCTGCATGTGGCAGCAGACATTCAGAGCTGACTTGTACATTGGAGATCTAATCAGGCACAAGTTACACTATTTTCCAGTTCCCTTTGTGGTTTCCTCACAGTTTGTTCTATCTGTTGAAGATGAAAGATTAAAAGCAGCTCTGTTTTCTGCCTCAGGGATCAGACTGCTGAGACCCAGAAAGAAAATAATTTCAAACCCTGCTTCTGGGTGAAGTTCTTACATTTTCAGACACTCTCAGCAGCACCATTGTGAGTTTATGGTGTGCTCAGCTGGCCCCTGGGAACAAGACAAAGGCCTGTGCTCTGTGGAAATATTTGCACATTGTGTTGTGCCCACACCAGCAAAAACCTCCCAGTGCACCTGCACTGTCCCACCTGCTGGTACCAGTCACAGGGAACCCTTTCCCATTCCCTCAGGGATCCTGCAGGGAGGTACTGGAGCTCCTTCAGTCACACCTGGCAAATGCACCAACAGCTGGCACTGAGCAGCATCTTACCTATTCCATGTTTTCTGAACTCCTTCACCACTCCAAGGCTTAGGATGTAAGCAACTTGAGTGTCCACAGGAAAATTGGAAGCTAGGATATCTCCATCCTGCACAGAGATAGGACAGGTTTTTTAATAGGGCACCTGGGGAGGCACAGGAGAAAGCAAGAATCCTGCATTGGAACACCTGAAAACAAGGCTGAAGCAGGAAACTTCTCTTAACTGAACAGTGTTAGCTGAAGTTTTGGGGATAGAAGTTAAAATATCCAAGCATGGGGCTATTCCTGTTTTCACATCATCCTCCCAGAGGCAGAACACAAACCATGCTATTTCCTACCCACGTACATGATTCGTGGGTTTAGGGACAGAACCTGCTTGCTTTCTTTACCAGAAGGATTCAAAGTGCCAGTTCTGGAGCCACCCAGCAGGGTTTAGATCAACCCAGCAAGTCCTTGTGCCCTGCAAGCTGCACCTGAGCTGTGTCAGCTGGGGAGGACAAGGAGCACATTCCACAGCCCCAGTTGCCCAGAGCAGTGCCTGAATAAGCCCTTGGCTTTCAGCTGCTCTGGAACAAGAGCCTTTTGTAGAAGTTGCTGAAGATGCAGCTCCTGACTGTGATGAGCTTTGAGATGAAGCCAGACAGCTGAGGTGAAGAGACTCATGTGCTGCTCTGTGCATGTTGGGTTATTGTTTAACCACATCACTGAGGGCTTCCAGGAGTTAGGCACTCCCTGCACTGCCCCTGCTTTTTATTTAGTGCTCTTCTCCCATGCTGTCTTCACTGACCATCTCTTCTCTTTCCCTCTCTCCTGGCCTCCCAGCTCTGTTATCTCTGAAGTCTCTGCAGACAGGTTAGCTCCCCTCAGGGCCTGGGACAGGGACTGTGCAAAGGGAGGAGTTTCTGCAGGAAGTCACCAGAGTGACTCACCCAGAACAGCCAAGGAAGCTTTTATGAATAAAAGAGTTTTGTGCTCTCACAGCTACACCAGCCATGGCCAGGGATTATCCTGCAGGATCTGATCCCTCAGCTCCCCGTGGGGGCCATGCTCCAGCAGGAAGAGCCTCTGTGGTTCCACACAGCCCCTCAGCCCTGCTCCATTAGCTGGAAATCAGCATGGGCTTCACTCCTGACATGAACTCAGACCAAGTGTCTGAACAGGGCAGGAAAAGCCCACCCCAAAGAGGTCCATGCCCATTCCCAGAGCAGGGGGTGGGTTCTGTGCTGGGTAGGGTCAGCACAGAAGGGTCAGGGTATCACAGGCCAGGGTGTCACATACCTCCTTGTGCACCTTGGTCCTGCTCTTGATCTCTGCCACGATCATCCCCACGATGGAGCCTCTGTAGGTGGCTGCGAGGGAAAAGAACTTCTTGTTGGAAGTGATATCTCGGTACCATGAGTCAGGGTACCTGCAAGGAACCACAAACACCAATGTCTGTGCAAGCAAAGCCCCTGGCAACAGGCACTGCAACCCCTTGAGTGGGTTCTTTCATGGAATGGCCTCCTGCCTTGCTAAGAGAATCACATTTTCATCTCAGTCTTTGCCCAGAGCTTTCACATCCATCTTTAGCAAGTTATTTTTAAATGCAAGATCAATCTGCCCTCATCTAAGAGCGTAAGGATCTCATTAATTTGATACACATGTAAAAAAAAATGCTGCATATTGATAGGAAAAAAAAATTATCACACCACCAGCCTCCAGTTCTCCTCCTCCTTCTGCAGTTACTAAAGGGAAACTACTGTATGTTCATTTATTTTCATTATTTCAGCATGTCTTGCTTTTAAAAGAAATCTACAAACTCAAAATATTATGAATGCTTTTGCTGATTTGTTACATTTTATTCAATCTTAATTATAATCTGCTAGAATTCTCTTTGAAGCCAAAGTTAAAAATCCATGAAGTCTAGAGCTGTATGGATGCTTTAGGCCAGACATCTGTCAGTGTCCCCCAGAAAAGCTCCTGTGCTTGTGCAGCCATGGGCATTGAGCAAATGTGGGTCTGGGAGCTCCCTGGGGCAGGCTGAGATCAGCAGCATGGGAGGAGCAGAGCTCAGATCCCCAGGACATTCAGGGAGCCCTCAGGAACAGCTCTGTGCCAGCTCGGCTCAGCTCAGCTCAGCTCAGCTCTGAGGGGGCTGCCCCAGCCCCAGCCCCAGGACACAACTTCTTTCACAAGCACAGGGATCCTTCTTCCTGCAGCTGTTGTCCTTCCCCACCTCACTCAGTCTTTCTCAAGAAGCTGATCCAGCCCTTTAATGACAGAACCCATTTTCCTGCCCCAATGTGCACACTGGATGTTTCTGATGACTCCAGTAGGCTGCAGGACAGGCAGCAAAGGACCTTTGGACCAAAGGACCCACAGTGGGCACCAATAGATGTATTTGTTTTGGTTTAGGGTAAATTTTGGAGAGAATTTTTTAAGTTTTTTTGTTTTTGTTTTTTTTTTTAGGAAAGTAGATTTAATTGTTTTTTGGTTTTTTGGGTTTTTTTTAATTCGCTTGGGAGAAAATCTTTTTTTGGAGAAAAGTAGAAAAATATTAATTATAAATTTAATGTAATATTAAATATTTAAATTAAATATAAATATTTAACTTTAAATATCAATTAAATATAAAATTTAAATTAGTCTATTAAATTCAATATACATTTAATATAATAATTAATAATTTATAAATAAATTTATTAAATAATAATATTTAAATGATATTAAATAATAAAACTTTTTGTTGTTCTAAAAGAGATGATAAATTTAGAAAGTTTGGGTTTTGGGTTGTAGTTGGGTTTCTTTAGTTTTTTATTCGTTTTTCTGGTGTTGGAAATGTTGTGGTTTAGATTTGGTTTGGTGGGTTATAGGTGTGAGTTGCTGTTGTTATTTTGGGTGTTTAGTTTAGAATAGGTTTAAATAGTTTTAAAGAAAAAGAAAAAAAGAAAAAAATTATAGTTTAGGGAATTTTTTTGTTTTAGTTATTTAACCACAGTGCACAGAAGATTCCCCCCCTGCTGCTGTCCTGGCAACAGCCCTGAGGCTGCACAGAGCTGGAGCAGTGCAGATTCAGCCCCTCTGCCCCCAGAGCAGGCACATACACATACTCTACACATACTCTACACATACTCTACACATACTCTACACATACTCTACACATACTCTACACATACTCTATTGGGAACCAGTCTCCACAGAGCTGTTTCACCGTGTCTATGTCATCGTGGCACAGCAGGCGCAGCGTCACATCCGTCAGTGCACTCGGGGGCACCTCCTCTGTCATTCACGCCTGCAGGGAGGAAACACAGGGAGAGCTGGAACACGGGGGCTGATCCACAGCACCTGAACCATAGCACCTGAACCACAGCACCTGAACCACAGCACCACCAGGGGCTGAACCACAGCACCTGAACCATAGCACCTGAACCACAGCCCCTCCAGGGCCTGATCCAACACCAGGGGCTGAAACACAGCACCTCCAGGGCCTGATCCCACAGCACCTCCAGGGCCTGATCCCACAGCCCCTCCAGGGCCTGATCCAAAACCAGGGGCTGATCCACACCCCCTCCAGGGCCTGATCCACAGCACCTCCAGGGGCTCTCATGGAGAAAGGGATTTCCCAGGAAAGTGAGTTTTCAGGGGAGATGAAGCAAAACACAGAAACATTGACCCGAGAAGGAACTCAAAGCTGTAAAAGTGGCAAGCCCAGCTCCCAGCTGAGCCTGACCATCCCTCCAGCCCCAGATCCAGGCACATCCTGACCCCTGGGAGCACAGCCTGGTGGCTCTGTGTGTGTGAGGAGCACGTGGCCACCAGCCCTTCCAAAAAGAGCATTAAATGAGCCAGCAGCCTGCCAAGTGTACCTTATGTTGCATGGAGCTCTTCAAATGTCCATGCAGGACCAACATTTTGTTAAAACAAACCTGAACAAACAGCTTAAAAAGGAAGCACTGCTAGGGGAACGTTTAGAGTCCTCTTGCACAACCCTGCCATCTCCAGTGAGTACATATGCAGAGGATTCCAACTCTAAAATGTTCATTTTGTTTAACCTGTGCTGGTGAAATGAGATCTCATTTCACTTCCCCTCATTCTGAGTGCCACAGCTCCTCCCAGCCCAGCACAGAGCACTCACATACAGGAATCCCAGGACACCCTTTCTCCACAGCCCTGCCACCATGTGCTGAGCACACACAGAACACTTGCTGCAATGTCTTCAGCCTTTTTTAACAAGCACCAGAGGGAAAAAAGCAAGTGATAGCTAAAGTGGTTGTAAAAGCATTTGTAGCACTGAGGGATGACTGGAGAACACATTTTAGGCATGGCAGAGCCCCACCTGAGACAGACAAGGTGAGTGGAGACAGGAGGAGTCATTTCCTTCATCCCTCTCACCCCAACCCTCCCTGGTAAAAGAAGCAGACCAGGATGCAAATTTAAAAAACCAAAGCCACCGCCCTTAACAAAAATAAATCACTTAAAATTTTTACTTTCTTTTCCTAATTTTAAGAGTCTCAAGTCTTGGTTTCAAAGGGCCAAGTTTAAGGGAAAAGCTGCACAGAGCAGGGTCTGTCTATGCCCTCCTGTGAAAAGGGATGCTCAGCTCTCCAGTGCTCTTGATTTACAGCTCAGAGCTCAAGGAGGAGCAGATTTAAACACACTCCCCTTTGGACTGCATGTGCCATTTGAGCAGCTTCTACACAAATATTGTAACTGGCAAAGTTACAACTGCCAGTTTGGCAATTTTACGTTGCCAAAACTTACAATTTAGCAATTAATTATAAATTTTATAAAGTTACTAAACTTACTTGGACAAGCTCTCAAGCACATGGTGAGATTCCCTGGGTGTCCTGTGCAGGGCCAGGAGCTGGACTCAGTGATCCTGATGGGTCCTTTCCCCTCAGCATATCCTGTGATTCTACTCTGGCAGTTACAGTCACTGTACAGAAAGGGATCACTTGTTCCTCTCCAAAGAATTCCTTAAAAAGCATCACAGCTGTTCTAGGGCTGTGGCTGCCTGTTTACTGAGCAGCCCACAGCATTCACACTCAGTCCAGGTGCCAGTTTCAAAACAACTTAAACCCCTACAAAACCTGCACTCCTTGCTGCCTTTACAACTTCTTTTACACTCCCAGAATTGGCTCAAGCCCTCAGAGGCCAGACTTGGAATCTGTGTCCTGTCACAGTGGTGCACACACTCCCCACCCCAGCCTCTGGTGACCTTTTAATATCCTCAGCTTCACCCCATGGGACCCTGAAGGAAGAAGGACAAACATTTGCTGGCTGAGGCTCATCTGACCCACACCACTGGTTCTGGATGCTGTGGACCCCAGTCTCAGCCCTGCTGAGCCATTGCAGAGCTGTGACACCACAGGAGCATTTTCCTTGCAAAGTTTCAGTGCTCCTGTAAGGGAACACCCCTTCTCAGCATTAATAAATCAGAGAGAAATGAAACCACCATGCCAGAGCCACGGTTTTGCTAATGAGTAGAAAAGGCAGGGCAGCACAGGACACATTCCTGTGAGGATTAGTCCATGTGTATTTAACACCATGTTCTCAAAGAGCTGGGCAAGCATTACACATTATCCTGGAGCTGAAGCCAGCCTCCATCAAGTAATCCATGGTTGTTTTGTTGAACAGAATAATCCCCCTCCCCTCAAATTCAGACACCCACGGCTGGTTGTGTTTGCAGGGACTCAGCCAGATGCTCCAGCACATTTAAAGGACATTTGGGACACCCATCTGGCACTGTGTCCTGCCCTGGGGTTCAGGAGAGCAGAGCTGTGTCCCTTCCTCCTGGCCAGGTGTCACTGCTGCTGGAGGAGCTGTGGGAAGTGGCTGCTATGAGCAAGAGAGAAGAAATTCCAGGCAAATCAATTCCCTTCATAGCCAGGTGACAGCCTCTGGGCCTGCTGGGACACCTAGAAAAACCCCCAGGAAAAAAGAGCAGATCCTGGCCCTGGGTACAGCCTGTGGCAATGCTGTCCCCAGCACAGCCAAACTCCTGAACTCAAGTCTCAGCCAACACAGTGACCTAAGGAGCATCTTTAGAGTCAGCTTAAGAGGACAAAATACATGTTTGAAAGCACAAAATAAACCAGAAACAGTATCAGTGTAAAACAAAACCCTGGAAGTTAAAAGGGCCTTTAGGGGTTTAGAGGCAGCAACACTGAAAACACAAGTTCTGACCTTGGAGACCAAAGGGTGGCTCCTGTGAAGCCAAATGCAGGCTCCAGGGGCATGTGGTTAATTCAAAGCTGTCCATGGCCACCTGGGAAAGCCAAAGTGAAATTATCTTATTTCTTTTAATATCTTTTTCTCAGGGGTCAGCCTTTGGTTGACATGCTGGCCCTGGTCTGGGAGGACGTGGCCAACATCACCCATGGTCCCCTCCTGGGGGCACAGTGACCTCACCTTCTGTCCAAACAGGGAGCACTTGTTCAGGAGGATTAGAAAATGAGCCAACATTTCATATTTTATTTAATATTTCATGCTTACAAAGGGATAGGGCAGATAAACATTTGAAAAAGCTCTGAGGACACCCTCTTACAAAATACTGCAGTCAGGAGCAGGTAGAACTAGAAACTGAACATTAATTCCCTTTCTTACCTAAAACCTGCAGATATTAATGCATAACACATTCATTTCAAAAATACAGGAAAGCATAAAAGTTGTAAGCATTTTGATTAGTTTTCTGCCTTGCTCCATTGAAACAAACCTAGCAAAATGTTTTGGCCTCAAGTGTATTGGGTAGCTCAGAGGAACCTGGGAAATTCTTATGACAAATATTTAGCAGTAATGGAAGCTGGATGAAAAGCAATAGAAAATGCATCACTAAATAAGCCAACTTGACATATAATTTTAAATTAAAGCACATTGTGAGGCCTGAACTTGCTATTTAGAAATGATGTCATGAATCTTTGGCATCAATAAGCTATAATGAGCCAAAGAACAGCATTTCACAGTTGTGTCTAAAAGGCAGCAGAGCCATGGCTGGGCCTCCAGGGGCTGTCCCTGCTCACTCAGCACATGGAGCCAAGCACAGGCACTGCCATTCCCACCACCAGCACCTCCTGAGCCTATGGAGAAGGAGCAGCTCTTGTTTAGAGCCAGGTGCAGGAGCAGTTTATTTACATGGACCAGACACTTCACAGCTAAGACACCTCAGCTCAAGCTTTTCTCAAGAGCAGGAGGAGGTTTTCACTCCCTCTTAAAGCTCCTGTATTTAAAAAAAATCATAATAAAACGTACATAAGATCACACTTCTGGAGAGACAGGCAGCCATACAGAACCAGCACAGTGTTCAATGAAGGATAAAGCCTGATGCTTTGGCAGACAGCTGCTTAAACGTGGTTGAAAATCCCTTCAGCACTTCCATACCTACAAACACCTGGCCAAGTGGTTCCACAAGTTGAGATTTCCCTTGTTTAGCACTGTTAGACATGTTTTAACAATGTTTTTGCCTTGTGCATCCTGCAAAAATGAGCTGGATTTCACCAGCAAACAAGATGCTGGTTTCATTAATTTTTATTTTGACTTCAGCTTCCAAGCAGATAAACTCATGAAATTCCCACATAAAAATTTTATCATCTAACAACAAATATCACTGAATTTCCTAGCAGAATAAAAGCCAGGTAATCTTGGTTTGGCTAAAGTCAAACAAATAATAACTAGGATTGTTTACAACTCTAATTCCCAGTTAGGGATGGATTGACTTTAAATTTAGTGTTCACACAAAAACCAAAGTGAAGGAATCTTCTTCACTTGCAGAAACAAAGCTGGATCCAAGTCCATCAATACCTTTTACTTTACCTAAAAGCTAATTGAGATCAATTCATCCTACAGAAAGCAGCAGAGCTGCAGGGAAGAGTAAAGAGGAGCCCTGGCAGGCTGTGGGTGTTTATAAATGGGTGCCATAATTCAGGGTACCAATAATTGTCCCTAAGGCACCCCAAGGCAGCCCCGTGTCCCAGCACCCCCAATATTAAACAGTGCAGATCCTCAAAGACTCAGGATGAAGATTTTCACCCTCAGGAATTCAAAGCATTCACTTTGAGCACACTCTTGCTGGATTATTAAGGATTATCTGCTATCCTTGCACAGAAGGAAAAGATTAAGTGTCTGCAGTGACTCCCAAGGACACCCACAAAGGGCTGTGCCAGAGGAAGGGCAGTGACCCCAAACAAGGCACGGGGCACAGGAGGGGCTGGCCTGTCCTGGCAGCTCCTGCCCAGCACTGCAGGACATGTCACAGGGCCTCTGTTTCACTTCTCAGACATTCCCTGGGAGATCTGC